CGGACCTGGAGTCAAGAGGACTTTAGTTCAAATCCGGCCTCAGACATTTGACACTAGCAGAGTGACCCTGGGCAAATCACTTAATGCCATTGCCTAGCCAAAAAAAAAAAAAAAAAAAAAGAACAATGAATTGATGGGAGAATATTGTGACTTAAAGGTAGCAGGACATAGATAGCATGGAAGGGACACTAGACTGGTAGCCTGGAGACCTAAGATCTTGTCCTGGAATTCCATAGGATCATGGATCAGCCACCCAGGCTCTGCAACTAATTAAGTATGTAACTGTGGCTAAATCGCTTCATTTCCTTGAGTCTCAGTTTCTTCATTTGTAAAATGAGGGGGTTTGACTAGATGCCTTCTAACATTCTTACCAGTTCTCAAAGTCTCCGTGCTTTCAAGCTATGATTCACAGTTCGCCCCCACCCTTTTATTCAAATGGGGAATCTTAGAGTATGTGAATAATCCATCCCCTGTTCATTCAAGTTCCACACCACATCTGAGCTCACACGCCCACCAATCCCTGCAGTCAATAGAGCTCAATATATCCATTAAACATTGAACTGAAAATAACTTTTTTCCTATTGAACAAGCTTAAAGAAAGGGAATCAGCTGTGAAAGAACATGGCCTTTGTTAAGCCTACCTCAGGAGCTGCAAAGTCACCTGAATAGATGTCATTCCACAGGTTTTCTAAACAAGCTATACCACCAGTGCAGCAGCTGCATGCTAATAACACAACCATGACAAAACAGAAACATTTTTACTTGGGGGAAAAGAAATCATAATAATAATTAGATTTTTTTAATGGGAGGAAAGTGAGTCACACTTCAGTGGGTAGGCAACCCGCAGGGACCTGGAATTGGAGCAAACACCAAGCAATGGTCAGCTCTGGGAAGTCTGCCTCTTGACCGCATCAGTAACTCAGTCTTGTCCAGCAATGGTCTCATTCAAATTCTAACTTAGCAGTGTTCTCTCCACCTCCCTACTCTCATCTACCTTCTAAGTAGGTTGGATTAAAATTTCATCAGTTCTTAAGAAAAAAAACCCAGATGGCTCATTTTTTAATAGTGTATAGATCTATTCATATTCATTCATCACACCCCTCAATTAATTTAAGGTTCAGTAACCTTTACTAAAGGCCAAATGCTTAATATTCTTTCAAGTCATCAGGCATTCAAGTATCTACAAAATCAAGGCTAATATAGCCTTATTTTTGCTTAACGAAAACAAGAGTTAAATTTTTTTTTTCAAAGGAAGAGTGAAGGAGGCAATAAGGATTGATCTTTCTTAGATAATCATTTGTAGCAGTAGAAAATTAAGATGCATACCTAAGACTCCAGCACAGAGGGTTCCACAGGCTCCTGGCAAATCCAAATCCCAATTCTTAAGTGTCCTTCATATGCAAAGGTAGGATCACCTAACTAGTAACCTTTAAGAATCATCAGTTCTAGGTCTCCTCAAGAAGTATCAAGCAAAGTACAGAACCTAATTGCCACATAATTCTTCAATGCTGACCAGTGACTAACTCAACATACACAGGTCCACAGACGGACCATTGGTTACTGTCAAATGTGGCTAAAAGATAAATCCCTACACCTTCTACAACAATGGTTATGCTTTAGAAAAGTGTTGTAATGAAAAACAACACTTTTCTAATGGAATCTCAGTTGAGGTTGACATTTTCCTCTTCTCTTCCTTTATCCCCCTCCATAGGGATCGAAGAGGAAAGTGGCCTATTAGCAGCTGGCCAGTGTTCATATGATTTCATCCACATGGAAGAACAAACATTTTTCGTTGTTTCTCCAAAAAGATTTACTCACTTACAGGCAGATGCAGTATTCAAACCACTAGTAATCTTAAGGTGTTTGGGGGAAAAAAAAAGCACATTGAGGCTGCTAGGCAAATTCCCCACAGAGGTCAATAATGAAAAGAAGGGACCTATATACTCCCAAATATTTAAAGTAGCATTTTTTGTGGTAGCAAATAACAAGAAATAAAGTAAATGCCCTCTAACTGGGGACTGACTAAACATCAATGTAATGAAACATAACTCTGCTGTAAGAAATAACAGTCATGACTCCGACTTATATGAACTGATGCACAGTGAAGTAAGCAAAATCAGGGGAAAAATATCCATGGCTACAACAATGTTAAGTGGAAAGAAGAATAACTATAAAACAACTGAATCTGAAATCTGTGGGACTTGATTGACCAAGTTTGGCCCCAGAGACCCACACTTCTCTCCAGACTCACCCTCCCTGCTCCTTTCCAGGAAGCAGGGAACCCTGGGTGTGGAAGACTGCACACAAATAACATCAGCCTTTTTTGATCTTTAATTTTGCAGAATTTCCTTTCTTCCTTTCTTCATACTTCATTATAAGGGATGGCTCTCTGGGAGCCAGCAGGGGCAGGAATGTAATAGGAAATAAAGATAGGGTAAAAACAAAATATATCAATAAAATTATTTTAAAACAACATGTGGGAAATCTATTCTGATTTGTAATTATTGTCTTGCCCATAGAATGTACTTTTAAAGACTTCATCCCTCCCATTAGCGTTGTGGTAGGTAATCCAAATCCCTGAACAACTCACATGTCAGGGCTGTGGCTTTGAAAGCCTGAAAGGCCACATAAATGGATCCAAGCTGGCTCAGGCCTGTAGGAACACACTGAATTTAGATGGGGAAGGAAGGGTAGTGTGAGGGGAAAACAGAAACTGGAAACCAATTCATACACAATTTGACAAAGGCCAAAGAAAACTGTTGGAGGGATAATGATTGTTATACTTAATTGACATAGCAGTCCTTGAGACCTGTAGCTCAAGTGGCAAGAAAATGATGACTCTAGATGGCTTGGATGAAGAAATTGCTTTAAGAGCTAAGAGTTAGGGCTGATGGGCAGGCCCTAAAACAAATTCAACTGCTTCATTTTCAGATGAGGAAATGGGCAGAGAGGGGTGAAGCAACTTGTCCAGAGTCACACAAGGCTAGTTGTGTCTGAAGTAGGATTAGAACTCAGATGTTCCTGACTCCAAGTTTATAGCTATGAACCATTTTTTGTTGGAAACATAAATATACAGTGATTAAAGTCTCATCCTGCACAGATACAGGGCATAATGACCCCAAGCAGATAAAGAGAGGCTTAGTGACCTCCTGTGAGTCACAGAGCAGGTGGAGGAAGGCAGAGCTGGAAGAACTTTAGGAGCCTTGTGACCATGGGCAGGCCACTGAGACTGTTTCTTCTTCTGAAAAATGACATTTGATTAGGTGGCTTTGAAATTCCTATCCAGCTATAGATCTGTGATTGTATGAAATTTAAAGGAATTAACCCTCAAGTCTCTTCTCTTACAGGCCAAATTATATCTATCTCTATGACTTTCACGTGCCAGCAATGAAGTGGAGAGACGACTGAACCTGGAAGTCACAAGTGTAAAGCTGGAAGGGACCCAAGAGGTCATTTAGTCCATCCCCCTCCATTTTACAGATGAAGAAACTGAGGCCTGAAAAAATGAAATGACTTTCCAATGTCAACGAGGGAGACCCACATCCTAATCTGAACTATGCTGCAAATGTGAGGCCCTGGGCTTATCACTGGTCCTCTCTGGGCTGTGTCTTCCTCTGCAGATTAGAGAGTTAGACTAGAAATCTCTACCAGCTCTAGGCTTTCTTTTCTCTCCCAAGTGTTTAGCAAAGAGGAATGAGTTGAGGATGGCTAGATTTTTACAGCTTTGGCTGATTTAAACCAGACTTTCTAAGTGATTTCCACATACCTCCATGAGGGAATTTTCTTCTAAACCAAAACTGGAAAGAGCTCCCATAAAAATGCAAGAGGGCTAAGGGGCAGGGGACGGGGGGGGGGGGGGGGGGGGGGGAATACCCTGTATAACCAGAGTGTTTATTGTTTATTCAATAGCTTATCAGATGACTCCTTTCTAAAATACGCTTATTTGGAGGAACTAGATAATGCTGTTCCCCATTGTGACTACCTTTTCATCCTTCAAACTCAAGAAATTAAATGCTTGAAAACTTAAGTCTCCATCTATTCAGATGGAATCATGGAGAACTCTTTTTCTCCCACAAAAGCTACAGTAAAAAGTAGCATAAGGAAGTGTTCGCAGCTACAAAAATTCTTTTGTTTTAACACTCCACCAACTTCAGAAGAGCATGAATCACTTCTTGGGAGATTAAAAAAAAATAAAATAAAATAAAGCCACATACAGTGTCTTTAAGACACAGAAGAAATAGGAATGGGGTCCTACCAGGGGTGACATGCCCACTGTCATTGGTATTGCCATTGTTAAAAATGGTGCAAGACTTTTGGAATCCTCCTCTCTTGAAAGGAAGAATTTCTGAAACCTGAAGATTTTCTCATTCACCATGGAGCTTCTTTTGTAGAAAGACTTCCTCTCCTCCTCTTGGCTGCCCTCAGAAACTTGCTCCAACGAGGTCCCCAATCATAGCCATTGTCTGCCACCATCACGCACAGGTCAGCCACTCATCATTGAATCTAACTTACTCCATTTGAAGACAACTCATTTCTGTTGGGTTTAAGTTATTCCTGCATTATTTCATATGCTGCATGTGTGGCTCTTTATGTAAACATAATATTCATATTTCCACGGTGTTTTGCTGTTGTTAGTCAAGCTTATATTATTTTCTTATTTGAGACACTATGGACGTCTTGGTTATGGCTGATTTATTGAAAGTTGCCATACTCCCACCTTCAAACATTGATATTTTGGAGAAATAAGTGAATATTAATTTGAAAATCCAACCTACGAATACACATTTTCGTAAGCAAAATTTATTGTTTAGTATTTTTCTTCCTTGTACTCAGCAGTCATCTGGATGTTTTTCTTTTTACTCTGAGTATAGTGTTTGTTTTGTTTTCTGCGGTGTCTGAGCTTTTAATTCTGCAAAGAAAATAGCATAACTAATGGGAGTGAAGTTTGCAGACAAAATAAAACAGCAGCCTGGAAATATTCACGACCAACACAATTTTGATTAAAGAAAGAACTCTGATTTTTAATAGTTTTGATCATTAAAAAAGTTTAAACCTGCATAGCAATCATTTCAAAAATAATTATTTAATGTTCCATAATTAAACTGTACACAACCTAGTCTTGGGACACAGAAGCCTGTGAGGTGAGTTTGCAGTCCAGTGCAATCAATCCCAGGAGCAGGGAGTCAGTCTCCCTTGGCCATTTAGTTCTATTCGTCTGTTTTCGTTTTTGTTTTGGATTGAGTGTGTGTGTGTGTGTGTGTGTGTGTGTGTGTGTGTGTGTGTGTGTGTGTTTTCTGTTAGTTGGCACAGTCTAGCTCCGCATGTCAGCGGATCTGCACTGGGAAGAGAGAGCAGCTTGACCCCAGTCCTTTCTCCCTTCCCCTCCCCCCACTTGGCAGGACCTCCTTCTCAAAGTCGCTCAATGTCTCGGTATTTCTTCCTCAAGATGGAGACCTGGTCTTTAAAAAGGACGGGGTCGAGCCTCATCTGAGAATGGCTCAGCGGCATGTAGCCAAACCAGCTGGCAAACGTATTCATGCAGCTCTGTCTCTGGGCAAAGTGGTCCGGATCAGCCCAACGAGAAGCCCGAGAAGTCTGGAGGAAAAGAAGAGGAGAGAGAGAGAGAGAGGGTAATTTTACTGAGAGACTTTACATTGATCAAAAACTGAGTTATTATACCATATCATATCATATTATAATTTCTCCAATTTACAGATGAGAAAACTGAGGCTGGTAGAGTTTAAATGACTTTCCCAGGGCCACATAGCTAATAAATGTCTAAGGCAGGATTCAAACTTGGATTTCCCACCAGAACTCTAATTCAGTGTGAATCAGGGGACCTGAGGGGCCACTGAGTCTGACAGCTTTATTTTACAGATAAGGAAAATGAGGCACCTAGAGGTTAAGTGATTTGCTCAGTCATAAAGCTAGTGAATGTCAGGCAGGATTTGAACTCAGGTCTTCCTGACTCGAAGCCCAAAACTCTATTCACTATGCCACTTAGCTGTTAGTCTTTCAGAGCTAGACGGGACCTTTGAGCCCCTCTATTCTAACCTACACTTGTTTAAGGATTCCTTCTACAACATACCTTGACAAGTGACCATCTAACCTTTGCTCAAATACTCCTAATGAGAGGGATCATCTCTATTCTGAAGGAGCCCTTCCTACTTTTAGATAGCTTTAATTTTCAAAAAGTTTCCCTTCATTCCTATCATTCACATAAGTGCTTTAAGGTTTTCAAAGAGCTTTACACATACTATTTCAGAAGGAATTAGGAAATTTGCCGATAGTCAAATAACTAAATCAGAGTGTCCAGGGCTTTGCTTTTGACTGAGCTAACTCCACAAGTTTTCATGTCTGCAGCTGATATTCCTGAGATCCGAAGTGCCAGTCATAGACAAAATGCATATAAAGGCAAGAAGTACAACCACAATATTTAATTTCCCTCTTGCAAGGTATGGTCTGATAGCCTGGAAGAGGTGAGTTCTCCTCTCAAAGCTTCTGGGTTTTGTTGTTGATGTTTGTGGTTTTGCTATAAAATGAAGGTTAATGCTACTAATCATATCCCAAACTCTGGAGTCACCACATTCCTAAATTTCTGTCTTTTTTTTTTTTTAAAACAAAATAAGGTATAGTGATTTTTGTTGTTGTTAAAATGTTAAATGGAACTTTTAAGGACTCTGACTTCAGCCAGTCTGCAACCTCGACTGAAGCCTAAAAGCTATAAAGCATTTTCCCCCAATTTTATAATATTTTTACTTAAAGTTCTGAGTTCCAAATTCTATCTGTTTCCCCCTCCCCCCCTTTCCTTTCATTCTCCTTTCCTCTCCTTGAGATGGTAAGCAATCAGATAAAGGTTATACATATGCAATTATGTAAAACATTTCCATATTAGTCATTTTGTGCAAGAAGAGTCAAATAAAAGAAAAAAAGTGAAAAATAGCATGCTTCAGTCTGTATTCAATTAAAAATATCAGATCTTTCTATAGAGGTAGATAATATTCTCCATCATTAGTCCTTTGAGACTGTTTTGGATCACAGTATTGTTGAGAATAGATAAGTCATTCCCAATTTTTCATTGAACAATATTGCTATTACTGTGTACAATGTTCTCCTGGTTCCATTCACTTCACTATGCATCAGTTTGTGTAAATCTTTCCAGGTATTTCTGAAATCATCCTGCTTGTTATTCCTTGTAGGACAATAATATTCGATTACAATCATATCACACAGCTTGTTTATCCATTCCCCAATTGATAGGCATCCCTTTAATTTCCAATTCTTAGCCACTACAAAAAGAACTGCTGTAAATATTTTTGTACAAATGGGTCCTTATAAAGCTTTTTAAAGATAGTTCACAGAATCTAAAAGGAAAGTTAGGTAGTGTAATAGATGGAGTCTGGAAGATCTCAGTTTGAATCTTTCCTCTGACATTCATTGGCTATGTAACCTTGGGCAAGTGACTTAACCCTTCAGCTTCAGTTTTCCCATCTGTAAAATGGAGACCATCTGTAAAAGCACTTTGCAAAATTTAAAATGTTAATTAAACAGTAGTGATGATGATGATGATGATAAGGATGATGTTAAAAGTTACCTCAGAGGCCCCCCTACTCCAACCAATCACCAGTTTGGCTACTGAGTACCAATCTGTTATTACTCCAACTGACTGAAGGGAAAGTAAGGGGTAGATTCGTTTGCTGTTTTTGTTTTTTATTAAGTAGGAAAACATTTGAAAACTGCCATACTGACACAAGGGGAGGTAGAAGCATCCAAACCCAAACATCCAAGCCCACACATTTTCTTCAAGGTTTACATTCTGTCCCATCAGAAAACTTTCTTTCCCCTTCAGCAAATGCCCTCTGTTGAGAAGACATGTTAAGTTTGTTTAATGGGCAGATTTAGTGAATGTTCATTAAGCTTGGGGTATCTATTAAATTCCTCTAATGAGCTGCCTTTAACTATCTTTTTTCCCCCACCAAGATTGGCCGCAGACTTCAAATTCTTTTTAAGGGTCTCTTGTACTCAAACCATTGCTTTTTGAAACTAAAGATTTTTGTATTCCTTACTCCACTTACCCTGCCCCACTGGTATCTTTACCAAAAACAACCAGCTTTGCAAACAGTCATTGCCCACTCAGGATAGGGAATTATTGATCCTGGATGAGTAGCAAGGATGGCTGTCCTCATTAATTATCTTTCTAAGTATCTATGGAGAAGAGGAGAGGAGAGCAATTTCTTTTGGGGTTTACTAAATGTGGGATCCTTGAGGGGAGGAACCATTTCTGCTTTTCTTTGTATCCCTATTCCTTGCCATGTAATATTTAAAAATTCTTGTTGATTGACGTATTTGTAGTACTTGAAAAAGAGGTAGAGGGGAAACAGCTTTAATTGGCCATCAAAATTCTGAACAGCACTAATTAGGCATAGGCTCACAGCTGAGAGCTGGAAGGGGCCTCAGATGCTGTCTAATCCAGGGGCGAGGAAGCTGTGGCCTTGAGGCCACATGTGGTCCTCTAGGTCCTCAAGTACAGTCCGGCCTTGAGGCCACAGGTTCCCCACCCCCGCTCTAGGCCAACCTCCTCACTTACAGATGAGGACATCGTGGTCAGGAAAGTTGAAGGATTTGGCCAAAGTCACCTAGGTGGTAAAATTCAGAGGCAAAATTTGAACTCAAGTCTTCTGGTTCCAGATTCAGCGCTCATTAATCTATGCCAGCAGCTGGCAAACTATCATTCACGGGTTGCCTGTTTTTGTATGACCTTTGAGTTAAGAATGGTTATTAAATTTTTAATCATAATAAAACTTTATTTAAAAATGTAAAATCCATTCTTAACTTACAGGCTTCATAAAAAGAGGTGGCAGGCTTAATCTAGCCTTTCTATTGTTGTTTGCCAATCCTGCACTCTACCATAATGCTGCCCTCACTTAAGGCATGGTCAGATTCTTGAAAATAAAGTTTCCTTGAAAAAATGAATTTGAGGAAAGCCTAATTAATGGGATTACTCAAATCGTTCTAATAAGTCAACAGGCAGATGTGTGCATTGATTTATGCTTATGTGATGGCCTTTGGGGACAGATAGGTGGCACAGTAGATAGAGTGCAGGTAGGGAGACTCATCTTCCTGAGTTCAAATCTGTCCTCTGATACTTCCTAGCTGTGTGACCCTGGACAAGTCACTTAACCCTGCTCGATTCAGTTTCCTGATCTGTAAAATGAGCTGGAGAAGGAAACGGCAAAACATTCCAGTTTCAATAAATCAAGAAAACCCCAACTGAGGTCACAAGGAGTCAGACACGACCGAAAAATAACTAAGTAACAACAATATGGCTTTTATTCAGAAACCATCTCATTCACAGCCTGGCAGAATTGCCCGTAGTTGCTTAGATAGGCCATACTGAGTTCCAGAGGGTCATTTAGGGCCATTGACAAACCAGCCAAAGAGTCAACACACTTTAAAAGAGGGCTATTCAAAATGTGAATGCCAGTTTACCTCTGGAGAGAAGAGGAATCGACACAGCAAAGAATCTAGCACCTCACTTACAAATATTAAGTGCTCAATAAATACAGAATTTAAATATGAATTTATTAGAAGATGTCTGTGAATTAATCATGCTTCAAGAACTCTGATTTAAAAAGCAAAGAAAGAGTATGAAGACTAAGTTGGTTTCCTTAGTGCAAAACACAAATAATAGTTCTCATAGGCTCTACATTTGTCTCCTAATAATTAGGACAAGTCTCTTCTATCGATAAATGATCAAATTTCCATGTGCATATTTATTACTTAAATACCCAACCTAAGAAACTTTAATTGAATGATTTAGATGAATCTGAAGTAGTTTGTGTTTTCTTTCCTAAGTAAAACTTGTTACCATTTAAACGTAGTCCAGTTTACATAGAATTAAATTATGCTCTGGAAGATGTCATAGGAGTAGACATCTAAAAGCTGGAAAGAACTTCAGAGGCCGTAATAGATAACTCTTTCATTTGTCAGATGAGAAAACTGAGACCTGGAGAGATTATGTGACTTACCAAGGTCATCTAGGTAAAAAGTCTAAGAGACAGAATTTGAATACAGGTCCTAATCTTAAGATGTGTTTTTTTTTTCTTTTTTCCACCTTGCTTGATTGACATAAGTATTCAACAAACTAACTTTTGTGTATATCTAAGAGGCAGTTACAGATTTATGAACAGATTGTTCTGTAAATGTTCATGTGTAAATTAGTTGCCTGGAATTCAGAACAAATTTTCCCATAGAAACGATGTTACAAATGGCAGTGACGTTCCGTAGTCATCTCATCAGAGCTTATGGAATCCATAACACTCGTGAAGTACATAGTAGTAGAGATGGGGGTTTAGAATGCAATTTCATAATTTGTGACAATGTTCTTAGGGGAAAAACATCCTGAAATTCCCACTTGGGATCCCACTAACCCTACTGTGAGAAAAGAAATATCCTTAACACTTGGCAAGCATGGTTACTCTGGGGTGAGAAGACAGACAAGGCTGTGAGAGATGCAATAGGCTCCAGAGAGGGAGAAAGGAGCTCAGGGGTCAGAAATCCTGTCATCATAAACTCCTGGTAATATTTCTTGGTCCTAAGCTAGATCACTGGTTGTATTTCATTCAATTTGATAAACATTTATTAAGCACCTACTATGTGCCGGGCACTGTGCTAAGTATGGGGGAAACTAAAAGAGGCAAAAACCAGTTCGCAGCCTTCAAGGATCATATGATCTATTGGAGGCAGCTGGGAAGGGGAGAACAATATGCAAACAAATACACACCAAGCAAGCTAGATACAGGATAAATAGGAAATAATTAATAGAGGGAAGGCACTGGGATTAAGAAAGGTCGAGGAAGGCTTCCTTTAGGAGACGGGATTTTAGTTGGGATTTAAAGGAAGCCAGGGAGGTGCCATCTTAAGATGTGATAGAGCATTAGAAATTGGAGACAAGAAGAACTAGGCTTGAATCTTGCCTCAGACACTTATTAGCTGTGTAACCCTGGCCAGCGACTTCACCTCTCCAGATGCCACTTTTATCATCTATAAATTAAAGGGGTTAGACTCGATCATCTGCCAGCTCTAAATCTGTGATCCTTCAATCACAGATTTATTGTGTATTGTAATATAAAAAATAAATATTTTGTTGCTAGGCAGGATCTTTCTTCTCCCTGACCTGATGTGGACTAGAATTCAGTCTCACCACTTCTCATTCACTTTTTCCTTGACGTACCCACATAGCTCTTTGAAAGTATTTTCTAAGGCAGGGGGTCTAAAGCTGGAGTTCACAGATTCCAAAGTGGATAGGTTTCGGTAGGCCTGTGAACTTGGATGGAGGAAAAATGCATCTTTTTCATCACTAACCTCTCACTAAAATTTAGTATTTCCTTCAATTATGAATGTAGGCAACAAAAAACATTATTCTGAGAAGGGTGTCCATACGCTTCCAAAGAAGACTGCCAAAGGGGTCCATAACATACTCCCCCCCAAAAAAAACAAAAAACAAAAAACTAAAAAAACTTTCTGTTATAAAGGATTTTATGAAAGGGGGTTAAAAGACATACACATAAGCACACATGTTCAACACACAACTCCCTTTCCTTGGGAACAAAATGAGTCTTTGGGCATACATAGGACTGTTCTAAAGTATCATTCATCAAATGAGATAACATATGTAAATTTTTTTTGTAAACCTTAAAGCGCTATATAAATGAACTATTATATTTTATCTACCGTTTAGAAGACAAAGAACTTCAAACTGGGCTGAGAATTTCATTAACAGAAGTTAGGGTGAGGGAAAAGATCCTGGAGATAAGGAGAATGGGCAACTTCTTACAGATGTGAGTAGGTTGACACCGGCTCTACGCCAGAGGTGATAGGAAGGAAGAGGGGAGAAGACACTGGGTTAGGGGCAATGGCCAAAGGACTGGAACTGAAGCCAAGAGAGACCTCAGTTCAAATCTTAACTCTGACACTAACAGGGTATCCATGGGAAAGTCACTGAATCTCTCTGAGCCTCAGTTTCTTCACCTATAAAATGAAGATGATAATATATCTAAAATATAGTTACCTTATCAGATTCTTAAGAGGAAAGAGTTTTGCAAATCTTAAAATTCTACACAAATTTTGGGCCAGATCTGTGATTTCATCAGTGTAGGGAACTTTTAAAAAGGAAACTCCCTTTATTGATGCAGAACATCACCTATTCTGTAATTTAGTCTTAGAGAGCAACCTGGGGCATTGAGAGACTACGTGATTTGCCCAGGATCCCACAGCCATTATGTGTCAGTGGTAGGGCTTGGATTCAGGTCTTCCTAAGACTCTGAGGCTGGCACTCTACCCATTGTACCATGTTGCTCTCTCCCTCTATATGTGCTATTATTAAGTACCTTTCTTTCCTCACTATTGTCAGTACTAACACTATAACCTCTTTCTCCCCCTTGTTCCCCCCCACCAACTGCAGAGACTTGAGGAAAAAGTAGGCATGGGATATGGTAATGGAACCAATCCCAGGTATCAGGGGGGGCAGGGGATAGAGAAAAAATAAGACAAAAAGACTATTTCAATAGATGACAAAAGAAAGGAAAAGGAAGCTTTTGTGGCCACCATGCTGGGTGACCATTCCAGGGTGTCACATTATGTAAAAAAGAAAGATAAATTGGATGAACAAAAATTGAATATTTTTTGTATATGACAAATATAGAATGTAGGCATAGCTAGACACGCCTGGCTAAATTCAGATATGGTCCCAAATCGTGTTAAAATTGAGTATAATCAGAACTGGCACTCTTAGATTGGACAAATTTAGCAAGTCACTAGAAAAGACATGAAATATATACCAAGAGTTATGCAATTTACAACCTGGACATTAAAAAGAAGTCTGAATTGCAATAAACAAAAATTAGATATTTATCAAAGCACATTCAATGAATGAAAAAAACCAGAAACTAAAAATATTTAGTTCTGCTTAAATTGTACCTATTGTGCAAGAGAAACTGTTTACATTATTTTCCAATTACTTGGTGCTACAAGACGTCCAGACAGATCTATAGAGTTATGTTAAGATGCTATGTTCAAACGTGCCTCATTGGAATTGACCAAGTCTAGTCAGGTGTTTCTAGATTTACCTGGACTGATCTATACAATCATTAAGAATGGAGTGTTTGCAAAATTACTAATACAGGAATGTTTTACATGATTGCACATGTATAACCTATATATCAGACTGCTCACCATCTAGGGAGGAGAAGGGGGAGGGAAGGAAGAGAGGGATAGAATTTGGAACTCAAAACTTTAAATTATTTTTTTGGGCATATCTAGGTTTCTTTTCCTATCTCAAGCTGCCTGCCCCCCCCCCCCCACTTACACACACACACACACACAAGAATAGCAATTTAAAACTTGCTAAAGGAAGTCCCCTTCCCAATATACATGTCACAAATTCTTACTCTGTGCATCATGTATCCTATGCCTCCTTTTCCTATCACTCAACCAGCATCATTATAACAATTAGAAAGGGCATAAGTCTAAGGGTCATTACTATTTTCTCCTCATTTCATGAATTCCCATGGCCAAAAAAATTTGTCACCTTGTGGCTACTTATCTACTAACTTTCAGAGGATCATAGGACCATAGATCTGTACTAGGAAGGTGGCTTAGATGCCATGTGCACCAACCTCCTCACTTTAATGATGAGAAAGCTGAGGAACAAAAAGGTTAAATTACTTGCAAAAAATAAATAAATAAAATCACACAAGTAGCAAGTGACAGAGACAGGATCTGAAACTAGGTCCTTGGACTCTACAGCTGAAGCTTTTCCCCTTTGGCCCCCAATTCTGGCAGATTCTCAAAGAAAAGAGTCCACTGAGCCTGTCTTGCTTGATAGGACTCATGGAAGCATGCTTTGAGAGCTGAGGGTCACCTCAGCACTGTGATGAGCAAGGCTTTAATGGAAGACAATTTATCATATTCTAAATAGGGACCACAAGCATGGGGGGAAAATGAGACACACAGGCAGGGAGTTAAATCTCTAAATCGCATTACTGTGATTGTTAATGATCCTCACCCAAATGAAGATAAACCACAATCAGAATGTACCCATAAGTCTATGTTAAGGAAGCTGTCATTATCCACAGATCAAATTAACTAGCCACGATACTTCAACATTTCAAAGACCTGTAATTTAATTCACGTAGGCACTCCCATCACTAATACAGACCAAATTCCATCTTTAACTTAGCAGATAGTTTTATTTAGTATTCCCTCATCTGGGTAACATCCTGTTTTCCCTTTGCAGATTGTTTCTTGAGGACAGAGACTTTCATTTTTGTATTTGTACCCAGCACCTGCTATATTAACTGGCATACAGTAGGCACTTAATAAAAGCTTGTTGAATTGAGTTGGAATTTCTGAGCATTGGTATGGACAAAAGAAATTCATCATACTGTAGCCACTGTGTTGCTGAACCTCTCTGATCTCAGCTAGAATGGCTCTCAGGCCATACCAGAAGGCACTCCAGCTGGGTAGGACAGGCCAAAGTCCTCTCTATCACTACGAGCCCTGGAGAGGAGAGCTTAGTCCTAGAGTTTACAATTAATTTATGTAAATTAGGATTATAGTATCATCGATTTAGAGCTGCAAGGGATATTAGAAGTCATTTATTCTAATGTCTGCATTTTGCAGATGAGAGAACTAAGGCTCAGAGAAGTTGAGAGACTTGCCTGAGGCCACACAGCTAGGAAGTGTTGAAAGCAGGATTTGAATCCAGGTCTTCCTGACTCCAAGTTCAACAAATTTAATTCTTGTACTATACAGATCTTGAGACAACTAATTACACAAACTCTGAAGGAGTTATTAAAAGTCTTCATATTGTGTCCTAAATTAGATGATAGGTAGCCTTTTCTTTTTTCTTTCCTTCTTTATTTTCTTTCTTTCTTTCTCTTCCTTCCTCCCTTCTTCTTTCCTTTCTTCCTTCTTCCTTCCTCTTTCATTCCTTCCTTCCTTCTCTCCTTCTTCTTCCTTCCTTCCTTTCTTTCTCCCTCTTCCTTCCTTTCTCCCTCCCTCTTTCCATCCTTCTTTCCTTTCTTTCTTTCTTTGATATGGTTGAGGAGGAAAGGCTTATTTTTGGTCAGTCTCACATGTTCCAATCTCAAATCTCTCTCAGATTCTCTACTTTTGGACTTGTTTAATTTGAGTTTATCTTAATTAATCTTCCAACTGGTAGAACCTTGCTTAAGAGTTCTTTAGTTAAATAAACATTTAAACCCTCTGTTAATAAGCAAGACAAAGTAAGTTCCAACTGCCCTCACCTGCCCCATCATTGTCTCTTTATACTGTTTTTTCTGGGTCACTTTGATTGGAGGCAGTTTCGTCACAGCTGACACAAGGAAGTTCATCAGAATGTCCTCACAGTTGGCCAGCTGGTCCACCATATTCTTCAGGCTGGCTGGCAGATAATGAGTGTACAGGTAGTGATAATATCTACAAAACCAAAGGACAGAAATAGCAATTCATGTGGAGACGTCAATATGGGATGATATACAATTCACACATACAGAAAAGACACATAAGCTAACTGGACCCCAAAACAAATCATTATAATTGGCTTGTCATGGATCAAAAATAGGGGTGATGGCTCACCCAGGCTAACACATTTTCAGGTCAAACCTGTTAGGGAAGTACATCAGAACACCTGAAAAAAGCAAGAGGAATAACTTAAATATTATTTATTTTCTATGAAAGACCTTGCTTTATGATTCCATGGATGTAGTTCAAATTCAAACCAAATCATAGCACTATATAGAGCATCTCTCACCCAAGAAATCCATTACATGGCTATCCTTGTCCTTGATACTATGAATATAGTACTCTACCACATATGGCCCATAGTACAAATATTTCAAAGATGCGAACTCTGATTGATTGCAACTGAATAAGCTGGACCCTTCAATTAACCAGAATTTTTTCCTCTCATCTTTACTTTCAAAAGAAAGAAATAAAATGACATTAGCAATTTGTTTGGTTAAAAAAAATTGCTTCCAAGGAGCATTCTAGGCTCAAGTGGCACAGAACACAATCATCAATGTTTTGTATATTTAAAGGCCTAAGGCAAAATAGTGTAATGGAAAGAGGAATTGATTTGAAGTGAGAGGACCTGGGTCATATCCTGGCTCTACTACTTACTAGTGTGTGACCCTGGGCCAGACTTAACTCTCTGGGCCTCAGTTTCCATACTGATGAATGGAGAGGGTTGAACCAGATGGTCACAAGGATCCCTTCCAACTCTAAATCCTATAATCTAATGACTGTCTCTTGCCAAATGATATTTGAAGTTATAACCTCAAGGCCCTTAATGATCCTCAATCATCAAAGACTCAATTATGGTTGGCATTTCCTCCCTTAGTATAGAGGAGAGTAACATATTAATTAACACATTTTTTCTATCTTTAATTAAAAACAGCTCATATTTACATAGTGCTTGAAGGTTAATAAATCACTTTCTTGAAGGTTAATAAAGCACTGCCAAGAACCTTTGAGGAAAGTAGTACAAATGTTGTACAAATATCATTCTCCCCATTTTTCAGATGGTGAAATTGAGGCTCACAGAGCTGAGGTGACTTGAACATCGCTGCACTAGTAACTGCCAGGGCCTAAACTGGACTATTACCAGTGTGACCTTGGACAAGTCCTCTCACCTCCATGGGCCTCAGTTCCCTCATTTATACAATGAGGTGGTTTCACTAGGTCATATCTGAGTTCTTTTCTATCTCTAAATCTACAAACTCATGGCTTCCACTGGACTTCTCTTATAAAGACTGCCAAAAATGAAAGCTGTAACCATAAAGTTAACCACGAGTAAATAATAAAAAAAAATAAGTCAATTAACCAGAATAATCCATTCTCCAAGCATGCTGGGATTATTGTATTAAGACAATCAGAAGGCAATATGCTGACAGGCTTCTCCGTATACAAGTTAGGGCAGCCAGGCCATGGGATCTGAGCCAAGAAGTTAACTAATTAACTCCCACAAGCGATGTAAATGCAGCTGCCAAGTTTCAGCTCTGGCTGTAGCCAGAGCTTAACCTGACACTGCATTCCAGGAGAGCCCTGTCTGATTTGCTTACTTGTGGTAAATAGCAGCTCCTGTCAATACCATGGAATAGTCATTAGTCCACTTAGACGTGTAACCCCATCGTTCCTTAGTGTTATCCCAGAAATGACTGCGAGCTGGGTACCCTACAATCCTCTCTGGAAAACTCTGCCACACTGTAAAGGCAAAATCCACCTGCAGGCAAAACACAAGCCAAACAAGTAATCAGCAATGTTAACAAGTGTCAACAAAACATTACCTTCCCTGCTAATTCAGAATGCAAAATCCAGGGACTGTTGCAAAACATAAATTCTATGTATTCATCAGTAAATTAAACTGACTACTTGACATTTTGCCCTGTGATTATGCACATTTTAATGTTTTCTGTTAAAGGAAGCTCAAAGCATTGCAGAGTTCAAATAGAAATTCACAAATAGGTCCTTGTAGAAACTCAGCCTGCTCAGGGGAAACCATATTGGGTTTTTTTGTTTGTTTTTTTGTTTTCTTCCCCCCTGGTGGCAGAAGTGACTATCTATTTTCGAGAGGCGTATAGGTATCGTTGAACAAATGGAAATAAATTTGCAAACACTGGTGTACTGGCTATACTGCCCAAGTAAAATGGAATCTGAATAAATGTATTGAAAATAAAATGGATTTTTAAAGGTGATTAAAAAAAAGAGACAAGTCCTAATAGGAGAATTTCAATATGAGGATGACATAATTAAGAAAGACAATTACAGTGTTTTCAGCAGATAGAGGTGTACTATAAGAGAGAGAAATTTAGAAATCACATACAGCAAAATCTATTTAATTTTTTTTTTTGTTAAAGGAAACGCATCTATATTAGTTTCAAGAGTATATGGTAACTTGGCCAATTAGAGTTTCTAAGTAGTGGTCCTGCTTTCAAGAGTCATTTGTAGCTAGCAAATAAATACTTAAAATCCAGGTCAGTAAGATTTTTTTTTTCAGTTCTAAAATACTATATTGTATTTTGGCTCTTAAAGTGTTTAGACATCACCTTACAATGCTGCACACACCCTTGCTTCATGAATAGTGAAAAGGTGTGGAGCAGTGTATAGAGCCCTGGGCCTGGAGTCAGGAAGACTCATTTTCCCGAGTTCAAATCCAGCCTCAGGGACTTACTAACTATGTGATCCTGGGCAAGTCACCTAACCCTGTTTTCCTCGGTTTCCTCATCTGTAAAATGAGCTGGCAAAATAACTGGCAAACCACTCCAGTTATCTTTGCCAAGAAAACCCCAAATGGGGTCATGGAGAGTCAGACAACAACTGAAAAATGACTGAATACAAGCTTCAATCTAGCCCTTGTCAGAATGATCACACATTTCCTATCGAAGAGGTCATAAGAAATGAGGTTTTACTGTATGTCTTCATATAACACACAAAGTAAATCATCTCCTTAATTAGTCAGTCTAAGATTTGTGAATTATAGATCCTGGCTACATAATATTCTGGGGCAGATATCATGGAGGGCACAGACACATGGTCTTCTTTTTCCATCATTCTCAATGCCCCCTGAAAGTGTTGCCTCTAGAGAATAAATTTTAATCGATGGATTGAGCCTTAGAGAGAATGGCTCTTTCAACAGGCCTAATCCAATTCTATTATCATCAAAATGATGACTCAAAAACCAAAGATTAGAGCATCTCATTTGTTAATACAAACTAGCATTTTTAAAGAGCCTACTGGGTAGAGCATTAGGCGTTGGGGAAGATGCAATTTAGAAACATTTTGGAGGTGGGGAGGGTCTAGAGGCCACATGTGCCCTTGAGGCTGCAGGTTCCTCACCCTGTGATTTCATTGGGATAAGTTACTGGTAAGGAAAGAACCTCTATCAATGGGAGCTAATGTTTGGATTTGAAATCAGAAGACCCAGGTTTGAATCTCTGATGTGTCACTTAATCCCTCTATGACAAAAGACAAGTCAATTGATCTCTCAGGCCCTCTGAGATCAATTTCCTCATCTGCAAAACAAGGAGGCGGGGCTAGCTGAATTGTTGTCTGAAATCTCTTTCAGTTCTAAATCTACAATCCAAAGATCTTCTTGCAGGTAAGCAGCCTTTCTGTGACTTACAGTATTAAATGGTTGCCTGGGGGCACTGAGAGTTTAAATGATTTGCTCAGGTTTCCACAGCCCGCATATGTCAGAGGCAGTACCTTGAAACCAGGTCTTCCTGACTTTAAAGTCAAGTCTCTATCTGCTACGCCTAATGACTCTCATTAGAAACATCAATCAATCTGATTGATTAAAAATACCACTAATATTTAAATATCAATAATTATTCAATTACTATTTGTAACAACAATTATTGCTATAGTCATATTTGAAGTTTCAAAGCACCTTCATGTCTAATCTCTCATTTCATCTTCCCAACCCTGTAAGTTAGGCAGAGAGGGCAGCTATATTTTAAAAATGAGGAAACAGATTAAATGACATGCCTCAAATAATGGAGACCTGCAGCCAAAAACAGAAATGAGACCATCTAACATTTAGCCTTGTGTTCCAGAGGTCACACCTCTCTATAGGGGTAGGATGCTTCAGTAAAAAGAGGATAGAGGAGAGTGCCCATCATTTGGAGGTTGGCTGAACAAATTATGGTATAGGAATAAAATGAAATGCTATTGTGCAGGAAGAAATGATGAAAGGGATGGGTTCAGAAAAGGCTTGAGAAGTCTTGATCAAACAAATGCCAGGTAATGTGACCAAAACTGGAAGAACAATTTATACAGTAACAACTATATCAGAAAGACATGGACAATGTGGGCATTGGTTTTGCTTGACCATGCATACTTATTAGAGGGTTTTGTTTTCTTTTAAAATAAAGGAGGGGGGGGGAGAGAGAGAGAGAGAGAGAGAGAGAGAGAGAGAGAGAGAGAAATGTTTTTTTTAAAGGAAAAATATAAAAAAATTAAATGGAGAACATAGGATCTGGAGTCAGACAATCTGGGTTTAAGTCTCCCTACCACTTACTATTGGTGAGAACTAGAGTAAGTCCCTTGCACTTTTTGATCCATCCTATCTGTAAAATAAGGGCAAGAATACACATCTACCTGACTCATGAGGTCATATTAAGGGCCAAAAGAGACACCATATATAAAGTACATAGAGTAAAGCATTACAGAAACATCAGTGGTTAGTATTATGATGAGATTGGAAAGGAAGATTAAAGTAAGACTGTGGAAGGCATTAAAAGCCAAGGTAAGGCATTTGAGATTTATTCCATAGCAACAGGGAGCCATTGCAGGTCTTTGAACAAGGGATTGGCCTGATCAAAACTCTACATCAAGAAGATTAATCTGGCAATGGTATGCAGAGGAGACTGGGAGGAGGGAGTCTGTAGGCAGGGGGACTGAGTAGAAGGCTATCATCCTGGATTTTCAATGGCAAGTCTAATTCTACTGCAATATAACAAGAAAGCTTGACTTACGTAGCTTGTAATTAAATGCTGCTTCCACTAAAATCTTAGGGCAATAACAACCACAAACATTTATATGGTGTTCTAAGACTTGCAAAGCATTTTATATAAGTATGTGTATTTTTGTGGTTGTTTGGTGATTTCAGTTGTGTCCAATTCTTCCTCACCCCATTTGGAGTTTTCTTGGCAAAGATACTGGAGTGATTTGCCATTTCCTTCACCAGCTCATTTTACAGATGAGAAACTAAGGCAAACAGAGTTAAGTGACTTGCCCAGGGTCACACAGCTAGTGAGTGTCTGAGGCTGGATTTGAACTCATAAAGATGAGTCTTCCTGACTCCAGGGCCAGTGCTATATCCACTGCAACATCTAGCTGCATATGTTTGTGTATCTGTATGTGTGTATGCGTATATACATGCATATGTGTGTGTGTGTGTGTGTGTACACTCATTTGATCCTTACAATACTGGGAGGCAGATGCTATTATTATCCCTGCTTTACTGATGAGGAAACTGAGGCTGAGGTGAAGAGGCAGAAGAGTTTGCCTCTGAGCAACTTTAATGACCAAGTTAGACCCTAGAAAACTGAGGATGGGACACACCTCTCCCCTTTTTTGTAGATACGTGTGTGAGGGGTGCAGGGGGAGCTGAAGGTGCAGAATGCTGTATACACTGTCAGATAGTCACTTAGTCAATTGGTTATCAACTGCTTTCCTTTGATATCACACAGGGGTAAGACGAAGGGGGATGTGAATTCAAGTCTTTCTGACTCCACACTCCCCCATTCCATCCATTTTTTCCCCTAGGAATCTAAAGGTTGAGAGGTATCATGAGAATTGCCAATATCTCTATGGGTACTTAAATCACATAGTCACAACGTCTATGTTGTTTCTAGTGTTTAATATTTAACGTCCCAGAATAATGAGAAATTCTATCAGGATCATCTTCAGAGAAACATCTTCACTGTTATCACTTTAAAAAAATATTTATGACCCCCAAAGAGAAATATATACATTGGCAAGAACTGGAAAGCCCAATGGGGTATTTTTATCACACGGATTTCCTATCATTTCCAAGATGTTTCAAGTAATTTCAAAGCAAGTTAAGAGAAATTCAGATAAAATTGTTATTCTTGTGATCATTCAGATCTCATCCAGATCATTAGCACATCAAAGAATCAAAGGTCAGCTTAGGGCCATTTCTCTTAAAAACTGACATCTGTTTTCCTTAGATCACTTGGAACAACTCAGATTAATGTAAATAACTATAAACCAAGTATGTCTAACGTCCCTTCCAGCATACTATATAAATATCTGTCCTTGTACTAAGGGGAGACATTAAAAACAAGCTGAAAATCCTTGGGGGAGGGGGGTCAATATCTAGTAAGGTAAAAAAAAAAAAAAAAAAAAGGAAAAAAAAACAAAAAAAAAAAAAAACCCTCGCCCTAGATCATTTTAAGCAGCATTACCACTCTAGTTATCAGCAACAAGAACAAACCATCCTGCCAGCCTCTTAAATCTCCATATCATTTTCAACCCACATTGACTTCTAATTACTGCACATACAACAAATGTCCCTCTCAGCATGCGACACAGTGCTTGGGACTGTTACTCTGAGAATAGAAACTGACATGAAATGTGTATGCATCACAGAGGCGAAAAGTTGTTGTATCATAGGCCACTAAACACCAACCCTAAGTGGGCCACTTGTGCCCTGGAGGGTGGGGAGGAGGGCTGGGGAGTGAGAAGAAGCAGGTAGGGATCGATTGCTCCCAATCATATTTTAGCAACAGGATTTTCAGCATCTTCATGTTCCCAAATTACACCAGTAGCCAAATAGCAATGTATGCCTTCCAAAATCAGGGGTTACATGCATGCTATCCTCTTCCAAAATTTAATTGACTACTTCGCCCCCAACCCAACTGGCTTCAAGAACTTCTTTCTTCATCTCAGAAACAGCAATATTTTATCAAGATGAAGGAAGCCCTGAACACTTCTGTCTCTTCTAGTACTTCTTTATGAAGTCTGCTCAACTCCATGTTATGGAAATGGAAGCATTAATTGGGCTGTGAGGAGACAGTGGGTCCCTGAGCTCAGTCAACACTGAGCCTTATCGAGGAATTGAAAAAAAAAAGGCCAACAGAATCCACCAACAATGACTGGAGACCAGAGAGTGAATGATAGCAAATGCTAATGTTTAGTTAGAAGGAAAAAGCTTAGGAAAGAGGAGGAAAAATGAAGAGGAGAGAGGGAAAGTAGAACAAGAAGCAAAGTCTCTAAGCTTTTTAGTAGCTACCATTAATAATGTATTTCCAATATGCTACATTTTTATATAACTGTCTTTGGTCTCCCCGATGGTTTAAAGAAAGGTTTCAGGGATCAATACTCATCCTAGTTGTAAAAATTGGTTTTCTACAGTATCTATCTTTCTTCTTCTCACTCTCCCCCTCATGCTCTCTTTTAGTGCAGTCTTATTTTTGGCACAAATATCTGAACATCTGAAAGAGCAGGGATCTCCATCTCAGACTTAAAGTGAAACCATTTGCTCTTGTGTGGGTGAAAGAAAATCAACACTTGTACCAAGGCAGAAATACTGTTTTTAGAACTGGGAATAATGTTCCATAACAGAGACAGCATACACCCGCACATACATTAAGATGATTAGAGAAGGGTGGAACTGTTTTTTCTGGACAGCATGGTTAAAAGATGATGCTGAATGGGCTCCTCTGGGCCCCTCCAGCGCCCCGCTCCCCTTAGCTCCACCTACCTGCCGACAACTGTGTCACGTAAAAACAAACAAGGGAAGGCCGAGAGAAGGGAGGCTGGCAATGCAAATGAGGGGTCAATGGACACCGATAACAAAGAGGGAAAGGCCCTCCTTGGGGCAGGTGTGGCAGGGCCACTCACGGAGGTATGAGAAGTTGAAAAATGACACTGTGACAAATTTCTCTAAAAAAAAAATTCTCTTCTGAGTCAGGAAAGGAATATGACAGGAAACCCCTGGCAGATCGGTGCAACCACTCAGAAGAGTTTGCCTCTGAGCAACTGTAGTGACCAAGCTAGACCCTAGAAAACTGAGAACGGGACACATGTCTCTCCTTTTTTGTAGATATGTGTGTGAGTGGGGCTGGGGCGGGGGGAGCTGTAGGTGCAGAATGCTGTATACACTGTCAGATAGTCATTTTGTCAATTGGTTATCAACTGCTTTCCTTTGATATAAGGGATGGCTCATGGAGGAGGGTAGGCATACCTGAAAATGATTATGAGGTAAAAACCAAAATCATCAAAGCACTTAAAAAAAAATGTGTTTCTTCAGATAATGGACATTACTCACCTCAGTAGTTGAAAGCACAGTGTCTTCATCAAGACTTAGGACTGCATCTGTGATGATGTTGTCGTAGGGCAGAAAACGACTGCTCATGACCTACGGGTTATACAGAGTGAGAAGGGGGTAAGAGAAAAATCTCAGCTCCATCATCTTTGGGAAGGGGGTAAAAAGAGAGGAAAAACCCCACTTTCATTAGCAGGCAGGCTCTCCATTTTACCCTTTATTTTTCCTTTCCCCCCCCCCCAGGTACATCCTAACTTTTTGTATCTGTTAAAGAGCACTGCTCAGTACAACATCGGAAAGCCGTCATTTTCCATCAGTGTGGCAGTCAGCTTATACCTTGTACCACAGGTATTAGAGAATCTTCAAATCTCAGAGTTGGAAAAGACCTTTGAGGTGAATTTGGAGCCAATCTTCTTCCCCTCGATATGCTGCTTGCTTATGAATCTCACACTAGCTCTACGAGTACCCATTTAGAATATATTCTTAGGAATCAGATTAAACAAAAACAAAAACAAAAAACATTTCCTAGCTTCCTTCTGGGTAACAAATCTATGCTTCGATGAAGAAAGGAAAGAAAGTAACTGATCTTGAAAGCTCTCTATAGTTGGGGCTCTTGTAGCAGGGCAACTTCAAAGTCCAATATGGCAGGAAATGGCACCAAAGGAAAGAGAGGGAAGGGGTGGAGGGGAGGAGAGAGGGAGAGAGAAAGGGAGGGAGGGAGGGAGAAAGAGAGAGAGAGTGAGAGAGAGAGAGAGAGAACTCTGATGATGATATGAGTTCCTATAATCTATTGAAAAATAAAGGATCAGTCTCAGCCCACTTAAAAGAAGACCAAATTTTACTTAAATCTAGACTAAAAGCTAATCAGCCTACAAGGATCATCTAAGAAGCTGTTCTCTAGTTGATGAAACCCCTTGGCAGGGCTTATGACATTAAAGAATAGAAAGTGTCCACCAGAACCCACCCCCACGAGCTCAAGGGATGTGTCTGCAGCTTTCATGGTTCCAGAGACTGCTCTTACACATCGGTTAACTGGTCCAGGTGTTTTGTTTTGTTTTTTTCTTCTTTTGGTTCCCTTTTCCCCAGCCTTTCAAAATGAAATAAAAAGAGATCACTGCTACTACATATGCAATGGTCAGAAATTACAGCCCTGAAGCATTTCTCCTGATACTGTTTATATGTCCAGTGACTAAGGCAGAAACCATCAGCTGTCAGCTTAGCAGTACTCTGATCTTTCCCTTGTTAAGCCTACAGGGGAAAACTGAATAGACAAGACCCATAAATTCAAAATAGGATTTTGCAGCCAAAGCAACCAGCACATCAATTTTGAATTCAAGGCCAGGCATCCTCGTTGTAAAATGGGAAATGGGGAGGGGACATGATCTCTCTCCTCTTGTCTGACCTAGTGCTTGTTTCAGATGTAGTTTCCTTTCTTAGCTTCATCAACAGAGGGCACCATTAGCTGACCCAACTTCTCCCATGTTACAGCTGCACAGGTAACAGTTAAGCTCCTTCTAAAGGCTCAGTGAGTCAGTCAACAAGCATTGATTAAGCACTTACTATGTGCAGGGTACTGTGCTAAGCATACAATACACAAAAGCATGCATACATATCCACATAAGGTAGGGGCCAAGGAGGAGTCAACAATAACTGGAAGATGAAGAGATTACTTCAGCTGGGGGTAGGGGTGGGTGTGAATGGGGAAGTGAGGGTTTGGGAAGGGCTTACTCCTGAGCCAGAACTTGAAGAAAGAGAAAGACCTAAGCAGGTAGAGATGAAGACAAAGTACATTCCTGTCATGGGGATCAGTCTACACAAATGTAGGAAGCCAATGTAACACAGTGCAGAGTGCTGAGCTTGGTGTTCAAATCCTATCACTTCATCTTGGAGCCTCAGTTTCCTAATCTGTAAAATGATGGAGTTGGATTCAATAACATATAAGGTCCAAGTCTAAACCTATCATCCTATGAGGCTAAGATCAGCAAAGAGCTATAAGGGTGCTTTGTCCAGAACAGTTTTATACATTTGGAAGCAGGAGGGACCTTATCTAGTCCAAGCAAATCCTTTTACAAATAAGGAACCAAGGCTAAGACTGGTCAAGATGGTGTGTGGGAAGAAGTAATTTGAATGAAGGCTGGAAAAGCTGATGGACGCTAAACTGTAGAAGATTAAATGCTGTGTTTTTAACTTAGGATTTTATCCTACAGACAACATAGAACCATTTAAGATGTTTGTACCAGGGAGTAACGTGATGAGACATGTGCATTGGAAAGAAAACATTGGCAGCAGAATGAAGGATGGATTAGAGTGAGAAGAGGCTGGAGGCAGGAAGGCTAGCGAGAAGGCTAATACAATAGTGAAAGTTAGAGGTAACGAGAGACTGGATGAAGTTGGAAGTGAAGAGAGGGAACAGAAGGGGGCAGGCAGGAGGGAAAGACATTGGAAGTGAAATCTACAAAATGAGGGAACCATGGGATTTGGGGGACGAGGGGAACAAGGGAGAAAAGAATCAAAGGTGATTGGGATTTTGCGAGTGGGTGACTAGGAGGATGTGCTGCTACTGATGGAAACAGGGAAGATGGAACAAACAACAGACAGAAAGAAAATGATGAATTCAGGTCTAAACGTGGTGAATTTGAGGTACCAACAGTCGACTGAGGTAGATATATCCAAAGACAGGTAAAGGTAAAAATAATAACACCTAGCATTTTAACAGAACTATTAAGTTTCCAACATACTTTACATACATTATCAACTCTGAGCCTCATAATAACCTGGTGAGGCAGATGTTACATTTCCCCCATTTTATAAATGAGAAAACTGAGGCTCAAAGAAAGTAAGTGATTTGCCCATAGGAATGCAGTTAGTAAGTCTGATATGGGATTTGAAATTAGGTCCTTCTGACTGCAGGTTCAGAATCATATCCATTATACCATAAGACCTATTAAGACCGGAGAGGAGTCCAGGGGGAAAACTGGGTGTGAATATAGTCAACGAGTTATTATTTAGGTCATGTGAGTAGACAAGATGTACGAGCCATTTTTCAACAAGAGGTTGTGGGAGTAATCGTAGGCTTCAATCATACAACAATGAAATCAGCAGAACAGCTGGGCAGTTCTTTTGAATAGCTTCCATTTGAATTGTCTTGGGAAGATTCTGAAGATCACCTGGCAAGATAAGGTAAGTGACACAGGTCCTTCCTCGAGCTGAACTGCTAAGCTGTCTTCAAACTCTACTGAACTAAGTGTAACTCCAGCGGGCGGGCCATGTTGTTTCAACGTCAAATGCACATTTGTCTAAAAGGCTATTTTACAAAGAACTCACATAAGGCATATGCTCACACAGAGGTCAGAAGAAATAATACAAAGTTTACTAGCTGTGTGACTCTGGGCAAGTCACTTAACCCCAATTGCCTAAAAATAAAAAAGAAAAAAAGAAAAAAAGAGATAATACAAAGACACTCTCAAGGTCTCTCTGAACAACTTTGGAATCGATTGTGAGACGTGCGAGACACTGGCACAGGACCACCTGCACCGCGCGCCCACATCAAAGAAAGCGGTGTGCTCTATGAACAAAGCAGAATTACAGTAGCTCAAAAGAAACACTAGATGTACAAATTTAGAGACATCTTCATTCCAAATGTTCATATGGACTCTTGGTGTGTGACCCGTGGTAGTGCCTTCCAAGTTCATATCGGTGTGATCGGCCATAGTCAGACACGCTGTACATTGACCCTGATATAGTGATGTCATTTTGGTCCTCTTTGAGTATGAGGGACAACAATCACCATGTGAATAATTCAGGCAAAAAAGTGATGAGGGCCTGAGGTAGAGGACAGAGAGGAAGGCAGAGATCAAACTCTAAAAGCAACAGAAATAAAATCCCATTTGGATGTGTGAGCTGAACAAATCTCATGAATCCATGATCAAGAAGCCTGCAGCATAATTCATGAAATATACCTCCTTGTTCTTGTCCCAGAGGTAGGGGACTACCAGGGCAGAATGTTGTATTCATGGTCCAACAAGGGCACATTCAACTCTTTTTATTAGAAAGGAGGATTCCATTTGTGAGGTGGTGATGGGAGGAGGAGGGGTGCAGCTAGGCCTTTCCAGAATTGACAGGTGTAAAAAGAAAATCCATCAAAATAAAAGCCTGTAGTGCTGATGCTCAATCTGGGTGAATGGTAAAACTGAACAAATTAACAAGGGTGATAGGACTGATTGAGAGGAGGGGGCTTGGTCACGCAGCAGCCAGAGCAAGGAAACATTGAAAGCAGAAATTCTGGGGTACGAAGACGGCATGAGCTCCCTCATGCAGCCCTCTTGCTATCTTCCTGAAGGCCACCTACCTTGCTTTCTCCTTCAATGACGATGACAGGCACAGGAGTGGCTGGCCAGCGGTGTTTGGCTGGCAGGGGTTTGTCACAATTCCAAAGAACTATAATCTGAAATGGAGAGAGTGGTTCATTAGATGTCTTGATAAAAACCCGGCACTTATACAGGCTTAGGACACAAAGACTCATTTTGTTTACAGAGGGAGAAAATTAAGTCCGGAGATTTCTACACAAAACAGAATGAGAGCCTTCAGAATTGTCTTTAGAGGAGGGGCAGATAATCCACAAGCCCTTCAGTGTCTTGCCATTTCAAGAACAAGAGAGAATGGAAAGAAATGGTTTAACTTCTTCTAGAGAAAGCGCCTATTCAAGTCATAATGTAGGGGAGGGGAAAAGAAAAGGATGTGATTTCACAGTAACTGGTTCTAGACAACAAGTCATTTTTTTAGTGCAGCTAGGTGGCGCTGTGGATAGAATGCTGGGCGAGATTCAGAAAGACCTGAGCTCCAATTCAGCCTCATACCCTGGGCCAGCCTCTGGCCAGGCACTGCCTGCCTCAGTTTCCTCACCTGTAAAATGGGGATGTTCTGAGGATAAAACAAGATAATATTTGTAGAGTGTTTTGCAAACCTTGAGGCACTATATAAATGCTAGTTATTATGTGAAATGGAAAGCGTGAGCAGTATTATTAGTCCTATTTTACAATTATTTACAGAACCTCCACTAAAATCCAATGTTGTTGCCTGATTGTGGTAGAGAGGTAACCCTGGGTTCTTGCCTTGGTCTTACCAAGTAGAATGGCATGGATTCAGTGACAGCTTGTATGCTTTGAGGACCAGATTAGTAAATTTCTTCAAGGAACCCTACTCCAGTTTGGGTTCAGGGTGATGAATTTAGGGGCCATAGCAAAGCAACTCTCAAAGACCACATACTAAATTATAGAAAGGGAGGTTGCTTCTTGCATGGATCTACTCATGTCCATGAGCTCAGAGATATGCCATCTTATACATAAGAAAACTGAGCCTCATGCAGCATGGGTTAATGAAAAGAATGTTACACGGGGAGTCAGGAGATCCAGGTTTGAGCCTTGTCTCTAGCATCTATTATCTTACTAGAAGTGACTATGGACAAACCACTTCCCTAATCTGGGCCTCAGTTTCCTCATCTGTAAAATGGGGTTGATGATGCTTACACTGCCCATCTCCTTGGGTTGTCGCTAAGGAAAACACTTTGTCAGTCCTAAAAAGCACTATATAAATGTAAGCTATTAGTATTATTACTATGCAGTGACTTTGCCCAAGGCCATATAACTAGTAATGTCACAGCCAGGACTGTACCCCAGTTATTGTGATACCAAGTCTACAATTCTGCCCACATTAGTATCCAGCTACCTAATACTTCATGTTTGGGACAATTGGCCATTTGGTCAATTGTATAAACATTGATTTAGGGCCTTGTAGGTGTAAGGCAGTGTGTTAGACACTTGGGAAAATTTGAAGTACAAGATGGAGTTCCAATTCCCAAGGAGTTTATTAAGCAGTCACTATTGCTAGGAAAGGGAACAGAGCAGCAGCAACTTTTTCACAATGCCTGGTGCCCCATGCTATCTCAGTCCCTCAACTCCTCCCACCACTGTCTCTGCGGCCTTAGCTAACTATTTAAAGATACCACCATTTGCCTGATCTTTGGTGCATCTCCCCCAAAGAGTTCCACCTTACCCTCCCCACAACACGTGCCAGATTTCCCAGGTATCCTCAGAGACCTCAAAGGGAGTTCAAATCAAATAAAGAGCTTGAAAAGAGAAGGCAGTTAACAAGGTATGAAGATCTGTTTGACAGGGAATGGGGATGTCCTTTCGGAAAGGAAGAGGGGGTTTTAAAAAGCCAGATGCTGTTTAGCAGATGTTCCCACTCACCTGGGCACAGTACTGAGACTTGGCTGCAGCAACTAGAAGTTTCAACACTGGCTGAGATTGAGAAACCAAAGGGGTCACTGCATGGATGACTGCAGTAAATTTGGAAGGGGGCTTTAAACCTGAAATGAAAATCACAGAGCTACTGAACAAAGCACTCAAAAACCATAGAAGATTAGCCTGCCCTTCTCCCAATCTCCCCACATGGATCCACTCGAGCAAATGTTCCCTTTGGGTATAACTCTCCTTTACCTTCCTTCTCTCACCAGGACAAAGCTGTCTATTAACTGTCGCTTAGTGGTGTCTGTAAGGAAGGAAAAGCTTTTATTTTTTTTGGGAGGGGGTGATCCTACCCTCCTTACACAATGCCTTTCCATCAACAACTTGGTGGAAACTGGCTTTCTTCCCTTGTTCCTATTCTCAGGAATCCAATGCCGTTCCCATTTAAAAACCTATTCTCAGGAAAGGACACAGGTTACAGCTCACTGTGAGTGGTAACTGTTAGTTTAGTCCTGTTAGTCAGTGGTAACTGTTTTACCTCTTTCAGGATATTTGCAGAGAGAATCTTTCTACTCATGGAATGGAAGGCTTTGCCTGCATTAAAGGTATTTTAGGTGTGTCTCATCTAATAGCACACATAGAATAAATGGGAAGGCCACTGCACCTTTGCAAGAAGCAGTAAACAAGATTGCTGGAGAAAAGCAAAACAAAACACTACCACAAAAGTCTTGGTGCAGTTTTCAGTTGTAACCTATTGAAACATTACGTGACCAAGCCACATTTAAGCACGCTGCTAAATACTTCAGTGTCACCTATTTGCATGAAGTTAATGGTCTAATTATAAAGAGCTGTCTTTTCATTTCAAAGTGATATGGCAATTAGGTAGCTTAGCATGGTACCTGGCAAAGAGTAGGTACTTAATAAATGTATACTGATTCGTGGACATATAGATAAGTCTATAGAAAGAGGATTTATTGAGTGTTTACTATGTGTCATATACTGTGCTCTCCATCACTCCATCTCTTGACTCCTGGCACCTTCTCTGGCTATCCCCCCAGGACTGGAAGGCTCTCCCTCCTCACTGAAATCTACTGGCTTCCCTGGATTCCTTTTAATCCCAACTAAAAATCTTATCTTCTCCAGAAAACCATTCCCAACCCCTCTTAATTCTAATGCTTCTCTCTTAATTATTTCCTATTTATCTTGTACATAGCTTGTTTGTACATTTTTGGTTATTGTCTCCGCTATTAGATTGTAAGCTTACTGAGGGCAGGGGCTGTGTTTTATCTCTTTTTGTAACCCTTCCAGTGCTTAGCACACGTTTGGACAGGTAGTAGGTAATTAAAAACTGCTTACAGACTGACTTGACTGTGCTAAGGGCTGGGAATAAGAAAATAAGATGATCCGTATGTGCAAGGAGTTTGCATTCTAATGGAGAAAAAACAACATATAAAGGGAGTTGAAAAGTGGAGAGGCAGGGAGAGAATACTCCCATAGGGCAACAAAAGTAGCTATAAGAAAATTGCATAAATTGTACTTTCTATCCATTTTGCCACAACTTCAAATTCCCTGGTGATTTTATTTTTATTATTATTAATACTATTGATATGGCACTTTAAGGTTTTCAAAGCTCTTTAAATGTGTTGTCTCATTTGATTCTCACAACAACTCAGGCAGGTAGGTGCTGTTATTATCCCCATTTAACAGATGAGGAAACTGAGGAGAACAGAAATGACTTGCCCAGAATCACACAGCTACCAAGTGTCTGAGTCAGGATTTGCATCCTGACTCCAGGTCCATCATTCCATCCACTGTGCCACCTAGACCTCCTGACTATTTCCATTAAATCAAGGATTAATACTCTCATCCTGTGATTTTCCTAAATTTCTATCTCATATTATTATGTTCCTACTAAACATGTAAGCTATAAAGGCAGAGTTATATTATGATAAGAAATGTGTATAACCCAATGCATTGGCCATCTTGGCTAAATCAGCTTCAAGGAGTAAGTTATCTTAGTGGTTCTCAAATGAGAGAGGGGGAGGAAGGGAGGGAGAGAGAGTGAGAGAGAGAGAGAGAGAGAGAGAGAGAGAGAGAGAGAGAGCACGCAGGAGAGAGGGAGGATGAGAAAGGGAGGGGGGAAAAGAAAGGGAGACAGAGGGGAGAGGGAGAGAAAGAGAGGGGAGGGAAGTAGGGAGGGAGGAGGGAAAGAAGGAAAGAAAAGGGGGGAAGGAGAGAGGTAGGGGAAGAGGGTGAGGAGGATAGAGGGAGAGACAGAGATTAGGAGAGAGGCAAAGGAGAAAGGGGGAGGGAGGGAGGAAGAAAAGTAGGGAGAGAGGGAGAGGGAGAAGAGAACAGAGGAAAGGGGAGAGAAAGAGACAAAGGGTAAAGAAAGGGAAAAGAGGAGAGTGAGAGAGAAGTGGAGGGAGAGAGAAAGGAGAAAGAGAGAAACAGAGAGAGAGGAGCAGGGGGAGAGAGAGAGCGAGAGAGGTATGGGGAGATGGAAGGAGAGAAACAGGGGCGGGGGGAGGGAGGGAGACATTTCCAAGGGATTTGCTGAGCCTCCAAAGAGGCTTTGTCTCAGGCAATAACATGCCTCTTTTGCATGGTCTCTTTTCTCAAGACACATCACCTCAACCTCCATTATCACTTTATGCTCCAGTCTACCTTCCCTTTTAGCACTTCTCTAAGTGAGAGCCCTTCTTAAGCCCGTTTTTCCTTAGCACAGAGGTGTCATGGGGACAAGGGGATTATGGAATGAAAAAAAAAAAAAACAGAGAACTACAGCGCTACATTACTATCGCAAGTGACTATCACAAATGAGCAGTTACTGCAGTGTCAGAGCCAAGACTATCCATAAATCTGAATGAATCTCATTTCACAGGATTGTAGACTTTGAGCTGAAAAGGCCCTTAGAGTCCATTGAGTCCAACCCTCTCATTTTATAGATGAGGAAACTGAGGCATCAAGAAATTAAGTAACTAGTACAGTCACATAGCACTAAGTGTCCGAGGCAGGATTTGAACTCAGGCCTGATCCCAAGTCCAGTGCCTTAGAGATCCTCTAGCCCAACTCTTCTTCATGATCTGGTATACTGCTGCTGAAACCTTCCCCACATATCCGTGCCCAGTAAGAAATGGCAGCACCATTGGATTTTCGTTTTGTAAAGCATTGCAGCACAACTCACTTACCTAGGTTAGCATAGTAGTAAGGGAAATCTCCCAGATACGATGAATACTGTGGCAGTATGAACAGCCCTCCAGGATGTTTGTTCCATATTAAGCTGTTACGTGATATGTGCTTGAATATTCTGTCCTGAATAATCTGGGAAACAAAAAGCAGAGCCCATAGTTTAAAAAAAAAAAATGGACACTGACCAAATACCAGATTAAACCTAACACTTACTCAGCTATGACCACAAGCCTCCAAATAATGGCTTTAAACACTAAGAGGCCCATTACACATTTAAACACTTAGCATACTACAAAATAGCAGAAAAACCATAGGACTTAGAGGTTAATAAGTCCAACCTCCTCATTTTCCCCGTGGCAAAATTGAGACCAAGATTGGGAAAAGATCTGCCCAAGGTCATGTAGGTATTGAACTAGGATTCAAATTCAAGTCTTTGATCCTAGTCTGATTCCATATCTAGTCTTTTTACAGTCACGCTGATTAGACACATTTCCAATCCAAGGTCTGGACTCAGTTGGGCACCTCCTCACCCATCAAATCATAGGGTTGGAAGAGAATTCACAGACCATTTGGGTCCACTCATCACTTCAGAGATAAAGAAAATGGAGACCAGAGAAGGAATGGTCTTTTTAAAAGTGTAAGAGCCTGAACTAGAATCCAGTTCTTCTGGATTCCAGCACAGGATTCTTTCAAGTGAACTATGTAACTTCACCAGCCTTCTCCCTCTCACCCCACGGAAGATTCAAGTTCAAAAACATGGTGTGCGCTGGAGATGTGAAGGGTTGAAGATGTAGAATGACTGTCATCCACATTCACAGCAGGACACACAAATGATTTGTTGCTTCTATTGCTGTTTATATTAAGGGGAGTTGTAATAATGACAGCAGCTAGCATTTACATAGTGCCCTCACTTTACATTTATTATCTCTTTTGATCCTCACTACAAACCTGTGAGGTATGCGCTATTATTATCTCTTCTTTACAGATGAAGCAACTGGGTCTGAAAGAGGTTAAACGACTTGCCCAGTTTCACAAATCTAGTGAAGTGTCTGAGACTGCACCTGAACTCAGGTCTTCCAGACTCTGAGTCTAGCACCTTATTCATTTTACCACACTGCTGTTTCTGTTCTAATTAACAGACAAGGATTTCTGGTTACCAAAAATTCCTTTTGCTTACAATACATCTTTAAAATAACTTCTGAATTTAACTGATCTACTTTCTCTTCTTAGTAAAGGACACTCATCACAAATTAATCTTTCTTCTATGCCCAACAGGATACCTTAACAAAATGAAGGGTGATGCCTACAGCAAAGTGCCATACATGCCCAGGTAATGCATACATGGGTACAAGGCATAGAGGCAGCTAAATGAATATTGAGCCCAGGACATATAGTAGAAGCAATTTTTCTTTTTGCTGTTTTATGAAAAAGCTGGAAATCTGGTTATTCACCTTTCAATTTCTTGCCTCAGACAGGTATAGAAACAGGTTCTGGTCCACAGGGGTATTGAATGTGAGAAACGATGCATCATTTTCTTATAACACCCCCCCCCCCCCCAATCCTGAAAGTTCTAAGAGGACAATGAGAAGGAGATGCAAAGACTAACATTCAAGAGATTTCATTAGGTTTTCTGGACATTGGGACCTTGCAGATCATTAGATTCTACATTTGGGGTCAAATGTTTTCCTTTTAAAATCATTTATCAGCCATGAGCCTACTTAGTTCATTCTGAGGTCTCTGCTCCTTGACTTTCAAACTTTTGTAGTTATATCATTTACACAGTAAACCATTTTGAAAATAATTCACTTAATTAATTATTAATCAAATAATTAACAGTGCCTCACAGCTTCAGCAGTCTATTTGTATTTTTTAAGGGAAAAAAGGAAACTTAAAATGAATCTTTGCCGTTTCAGACATAAATTGCTTTATCTTTCAAGGTCCTGTTTAATGCAATGTGATTTAAAGTATGTTGTTTTGTCATTCAGTCTTGTCCAACTCTTCATGACCGTGGACCAGAGCATGAACTCAGGTCTTTCTGACTCCAAGCCTAGCACTCTATCCACTGAGTCAACCAGCTGCTCCTGATTTAAATTATATCCCACTGTAAATTGTCATCATTTTCCTAGGCTATTAATGTCCTGACTCATTCCCCTTGGTAATTGGTCCCATAATAAGGTAAGCTTCACTTATCTTAATAAATCAATTGAATTCAATAAGCATTTTAAGTCCCTACTACACCTAGAGCACCATAGTGTGTACTTGGGTAAATAAAGACACAGATGACAGGGACAAGTCTCTGTCCTCAAAGAGCTGACGGTCAACTTTAGGGAAAATCTCCCACAAAATCCTCCACTGTCCATTTCTTTTCATTTCTTTTTCTTTTCTGTTCATTTCATTTTTTCCATTTCTTGAGAAAGAAAAGGGAAGTAAACATAAGTAGCTTTTCCATTTCTTGAGAAAGAAAAGGGAAGTAAACATACGTAAACATAAGTTGGATGGTGTTGCATTTCTCCCTTTTCTCAGACTAGTTTGCTAAATACTTGTGTTTGGATAGACATTCCAATTTTCGTGGAAATTTTAGGTTAGGAGTTACTTTGAAATACTTATCTTTTATTATACATCAGAGACCTGAGTTAATGCTGTGGTGTGCTCCTTAATTACAACAGACATATATTGGCAAAAGGTAGGGTTTTAAGTTACTAGCTGTTCCATTTATCTCTGTTGCTGCCTTGTCTATTCAGTCAATTCTTTTTACTGCGGTTATACATTCCAAACCCCGAGAGATCCCACTGTCCACTTTATGATGTCAGTCTGTGTCCTTGACTCCTCTTCTCACCAGATTCCCTTATCTAGGGGCAAGTAGTCTTTGAACAAAGAGCCACAGAATGAATGATCATTTGCAGAAAATACAAATGACACAAAGCCTAGAGATGTCACAAAGGAGTTTGTCATTCACTTTGACTTTCTGGGTGGCATCGATCTCACTGTTCCGGATGGCATTCATAATTCCACATCAGTGTTGTTATCTCTCAGGCTTCAAGGACCAAACAAACCAGATATTCTTCACAAAGATGAGCAAGTATTTTATCCTGTCATCATAGAACCTTGAAAAAGAAGCCTATAATATTCTGAAGGCAGCACACGTGCATGCACACACACACACACACACACATACACACACATACACACATACATACACACACACTCTTTCCTTGGACATGGGATAATTTTTGCCCCTAAGGAGAAAAGTACACATGGGATCTTCTTTTCTTTATGGTCCCTAGAGGCTCCGCCAATGATGACGTCAATTTCTTATCTGTATGACTTGGAAGACTCAGGTGTCTCCAAGTAAAGTATAAGCTCCTTGAGGGAACAGACTATATTTCTTTTCTTTTGTTTTCTGTACTCCTAACACCTAGAATAATGTCTTGCACATAGCAGCTACAAAGTTAATGATGGCTGGGTTAGGCTGGAAAAAAAGGCTGGATTTGAAGTCAAATGACCTGGATTCAAATCCTGGCTTTGCTGTTTATGGTGTGACCTTTTGGCAAATCAATTCACCTTTCTGGGCCTCAGTTTCTATATTCTATAAAATGAAGGAATTAGTTAGGCAGCTCCTGAAGCTGCTTCCCACCTGAGATCCACAATCATGAAACTAACAGTCCCTTCTATATCCTTTGTACCTACATGCTATTCTTTAAATATTACACACATCCTACAGAAGAGAGGATGGTGTCATTTGGTATGCCCCTGACTCAGTCATCTGACCAACACAGTGCTGAGTTTCACACACACTGGGCCACCACATGCCATCTTACTCCCTGCCAGTGCAATCTGCTACTCTTCTATCTCTACATCACACTGAATGAGAATTTTTAAAAAATACCATTGTGTGAATATCATACAACAGGAACAGCAGACACCAAGTATGCTGTGTTTAGTGTCCTATGACTGTGAAATGTTTGGATGCCAGGAGAAAAAGGCAACCTTCCTGCACCAAGGTCCAACTAAGAACATGCCTCACTAGGCACTTTTGAATAACATTAGCACGTATCTTCAATGTTACCCACTTCATGCCTAATTGTGATTCGTTGGTTCACATCCTGGTTTTAGATTAGCATTTTTTAAATTCTGCCTAACAATTATCTCCATTAAGGATTGTATAATGTAACCATCCACCCTCTGTTCAAGATTAGCCCAGCAAAGCTTGAACCCAACAAAGTGAACTCTAAAGGGATGACTTTAAGAAATTTCACTGAAACTGGAAATTCTCCTTCAGGGATTATCATTAAATAACATACGTGGAAGTTCTAGTCATTAACCAACGAGCTAAGTGGTATGAAGGGGAGGATTCATAAATCATCAAAGCTTCAAGGTGGGAGTGGTCTGAGGGCTCTTCTAGTAACTCAGATGTCCATCCTGGAGAATTTCCACATCCCTGGTTCCCAAATGCCCGAGGGACTTGTGAATCTCCTCTTCTGTCCTCAGAGTAGAGAATCATGAAGCCAGGGAGGAGATTCCACACCTGCAGGCAGCTAATGATCAGGCCAATGGGTCTAGGGCTGCAGAATCTCTGGATCCTGGTATCTGGGGTAAGTTCCCAACTGCCTACTCTTGGTTCCTCAAACTCTAGCACTGAATGATATATACTCCTCAAGCCTCATGGGCTTCCCAGGTTTCAAGCTAGACCATTGATGCTTACAGTGGTTGTCATTCATTCTTTTTTTTTTTTTGAGGCAATTGGGGTTAAGTGACTTGCCCAGAGTCACACAGCTAGTGAGTGTTATGTGTCTGAGGCTGGATTTGAACTCAGGTCTTCCTAACTCCAGGGCTGGTGCTCTATCCACTTTGCCACCTAGCTGTACCGGTTGTCATTCATTCTTGAAGAGGACCAAAAGGACAGACATGTTAGAGTCAAGTTACAGTGTGTCTGACTATGGCTCATCAGGCCAATACAAGCTCAAAATGCTCTGCCACAGGTTGGGCACAAATAGTCCATGTGAACATTTGGGGTGGATTCTCTAAATTTGCACATTTTGCATTTCTTTTGAGCTACTTCAATTCTGTTTCACTCAGAGAGCACAGTGCCTTCTCTGATGTGGGTACACCATGCTGGGCGGTCCTATGCTGGTGTCTCCCATGTCACTCAATCAATTCTAAAGATCTTCAGAGAGACCTTGAGAGTGTCCTTGTATCACTTCTTCTCACCTCTGGGTGAGTGCTTGCCTTGTGTGAGTTTTCTTAAATGTTACAATAACCTGAAGAGGTTGCTTAAAAAAAAAAAAGATATAAAGACTTCTATTTGTACAGGACTCAGTTTTCTCCCTAATCTGCCCTTGATGTGTATTTTAGCTAAAATTTCTAAATGTATTAATATTAATAATAAAAATAATAAAAACATGGGATTTGAACTAAGAGGGAAAACCTAAAAAGCATCTTTCTTAGGGCACTTGGTTAAGATGACAAAGGATTACAATTCTTTCTCTGGACTCCAAGAAGAGATTTGGCAGTTCTTATACATTTAGATGAAGTGTATAGTTTTTCCAATATTTTAGAATACATAAGCATCCCCAGAGAAATGGATGGCTCCCATCCAAGGGAAAGGTGTTTCCACTGCCAACCTACAGATTTAAACAGTTTTGACTCAAAACCCTCCTCTGATGCCACACAACACATGCAACCTTTTTTACCTGGCAGGCATATCAAGATACCTTAGCTAACGCTGCTAACTCAATAAGTGAAAGGGATGACGTAGCAATTAAACCACAAGCAAAAGGAGTAGTTTCTCATAAGGCCCTGGTCAAGATTATGTCTTCTCCACTTGGGGTAATGAGAAGGTAAGCTTGGAAAGGAGATAAGGGGAAGGAATGTTAGGATGAACAAAGGGATGATTCAGCTCCAAAACTGACTAGTTCTCTGACACTGGGCAAAGCCCTTGAACTCTCTGATCCTCAGTTTCCTCTTCTATTAAATGGGAATAATAGTAATATTTGTACTCTCTACCTCATTAGGATGTTGCGAGGAAAGCAATTTGTAATCCATAAAAAAAGTGAGTGATCATTATTTTATTTTTATGTTTTATGTATTACTTTTTATGGAAGTGAAAACCCAATTGATTATTATTTAAGATAAAATCTATGAAGTAATTTTAGGAGAATATAGAAAGTTTTTCTTACAAGATAAGAACTATTTGGAATCCCACAGAACCAGTAAGTTCCAGACAAGCAATTATTTAGCATTTTCGGTGTGCTAGGTGCTGGGAATATGAAGACAAAAATGACATAGTCCTTGACCTCAATAAGCTTGCTTATATTAAATAAATGCAAATAGAGAGACCTAATGAACTAGAGAAATGGGGAGGAGAGGGAAAAAGTGTCTGTTATTCTACGTTCCAGGCACTGCTGTAAGTGCTTTACAAATGGTGTCTCATTTGAACTTTGCAATTACTCTGTAAGATAGGTACTATAATCCCCATTTTATAGTTGAGGAAACCGAGGCAGATAGAGGTTAAGTAAAGAAGGCAGCATTTGAGCTGAGCTTGGAAGGAAGCTGATTCTAAGAGGTAGAAGTGAAGAAGGAGTACAATCCAGCCATGGGGGAAGGGGTTGTTGTTCATCCTTTCCTTTCGAAGAGGATCAATGACATCACCGATGATGTCATGAATTTGATTTAAATGAGGCAAAGTTGTACAAAGCCATCAGCCTCAATCTTTCTTTCAGAGTCACTGAGGTCCAATGGCAAGACAAAAGTCAGGACAACTGGCGATGGCCCGGGAGGCAGTGGATGACCTTGGCATCCTCAATGTCTGACCAAACTGTAAGCACTCCACAGAACCTGCTTTATCCACTTTCATGGCCTTTGGAACAAATTGTTCTCATCTGCCCCTTCCACCAGGAGAGGTCTTCACATGCTTAGGTGGACATCCTCGTAACTTGCCTACCAGTTTGAGGCCTGGTTTAGCCCATCTGTCAAGATAGTTTTACCAAAGTGTGGCCACTATATATGCTACAGCCATGAGGGGATAGACTGTGTAAAGACACAGAGATGAGAGATGGAATATTGCATCAGGTACAGAAAAAAGGCCAGTTGGGTTCAGCCAATCCTTTCAGGGGAGTTCAGTACAAAAAATGAAGACCTTGCTAATAAGCAAGAGGAAAATTGGCATAGACTAGGGCAGGTCTGGCCAGTCAGAGAGGAGATGGGAAATAGACAGACTCTGGAGAGAACATAAGCATGAGTATGACTGCATAGGTCTAAGCAGGGAAAGGCAGATCAAATCAGAATGTCTGGTCTAGCCTGAGAGCATAGGTGAGGAGCAGGAGAGTGGCTACAGTGTGGGCCTCTCTTTCCCAGACTTTTCCAGTACATGACTGACCATTAGTTCTTGGGACAGCTTGTAAGGATTTTCTTTTTCCAGAGTAAGTTTCCTAGAAGCCTGGAGTCCTTCAGGTCCTTCTTATATTATTCGACATAAGCAGTATTTCCAATGTTTTCCCCCAGATCAAAGGTCTCTAATTCTCCATCCTAGAGGTTCCTTAGTCTTAGCATTTCATGCACTATCAGTTTATCATTAGGCCATAGCTACGTGTTCCACTTCCAGAGTGGCCTGACGTCAGGGCACGGCTCAAGAGGCACCTTTTACAAGAGGCCTTTCCTGACACTTTTCTGATAATTGTTTTATAGTGTAGAGACTAGACCTGTGACTTCATTGATAGAGGGAATTCCCAGGGGAGCAAATATCCCCTATGAATGAAGGTCAGCCCCTGCTACACAACTTAAAGCCTTAGAAAATTCCCTAAAAGATTAAATGATTTGGTCAGCGGCATAAAGATCAGGGGCAACTTGGTGGTACAGTGGATAGGACACTGGCCCTGGAGTCAGTAGTACCTGAATTCAAATCTGGCCTCAGACACTTACTAGCTATGTGACTCTGGGCAAGTCACTCAACCCTGTTTGCTTCATCTTTAAAAATGACCTGGAGAAGGAAATGACAAATTACCTCAGTATCTTTGCCTCAAATGGGGTCATGGAGAGTCAGACACGACTGAAATGACTCAACAACAACAAAAATAGAACCAGTGTGTGTTAGAGATAAAACCTGAACCCAGGTCTTCCTGGCTTTGAAACCATCTCTCATAACTCTGTATACATTCTGCATTTATATAGCTGTGTACAGTTATATCACCTTCCAGCAGGTCCCTAAGAGCAGGGATCATTTTTTTTTGTCATTATATTCCCCAGAGTCTAGTACAGTACCTTGCAAAAAAGTAGGTAGACATCCCTCTAACTTGCTTACCAGTTTGAGGCCTGGTTTAGCCCATCTGCCAAGACAGTTTCACCAAAGTGTGGCCACTGTGTATGCTGTAGCCATGAGGGGATAGACTGTGCAAAGACACAGAGATGGGAGACGGAATATTGTGTCAGGTACAGAAGGAAGGCCAGTTGGGTTCAGCCAATCCTTTCAGGGGAGTTCAGTATTTAATTGAACCATATATATGATTTCTTTTTCCTTTTTTTTGGAAGGGGGGGTGGAGAGGGGATGGTTTCTTTAAACTTGGGGCTGGATGCCATCTGGCCATTAAGACTTCTTAAAGTTAATAAACATTAATAAAACAACCCCTCTTAATCCTAGTGCCATCCCTTTGTTAATTATTTCCTACTTATCTCATATATAGCTTGCTCTGTGTGATTGTAAGCTCCTTGATGGCAGGGACAGTCTTTTGCCTCTTTTTGTATTTTTGTATCCCCAGTGTTTAACACAGTGCCTGGCACATAGAAGGTGCTTAATAAATGTGTACTGATTGATTATTGATTGTCTTGTTTGCCAGATTGGATGATTCTGGCTTTCTTTTTACTGTATTACCTGGAAGCTAATATAAATTGAATCACAGATGACTAGAACACTAAATGTATTAAGCCTTCAGCCAGAACACAGTGCACAGCAAACTGTTTTGAATGTTTGGAGGCACAGGAGCAAGAATGAGGATTTTCCCCAGTTGGCTGCTAACTTCTCGGAGTGAGTTCCGGAAATAGATTTTTGAAAAGATCCCATGGAGCATGAATGACAGAAAGACAATCATTAAGTACAAATCCCCCCAAAGCTTCAATACAGAGCTGGTTTCTAGGTTAGGTGGTTTCCATTGCTCATCAGGTATACTTTCATGTATGGATTTCAACAAGAAAGGAACCACTTCCTTGGGCTGAGAAGGTAGGTAAAAGGTGGAGGGGAAAGGGAGGTGGGGGAGGGGGAGAAGGAGGAGGAAAGGGAAGTGACATTGTCAAATAAGAGAAGGCTTTGTTTCTCCCACTGGGAAACCAATTGCATGTCATCAAAACCAAGGTCGTTCAACAGCAAAACACAAGGCAAGAAAGGCACATAAGGGAACTGATTAATATCCAAAGGCTTTCACTCACCTCTAGTGTAGTTAATACAATCTTCTCAACTGAAGAAAAATAAGCCTCCCACAAGAACTGTGTCTGTTGTCTAAGTGCTAGGATTTTATCCTCATGGATAGACCTGATTGTAGAAGGAATCTGTAACACAAGGTTAAAATAATTAGCTATTAAAGAAAACAGCATAATTTGACTCAATCAACACAATTGAGCTAGGATACCATTTCCAACTGAAGACAGCAAGTTTTTAGAACCCACATCTATTTCAATTTATTGTTTCATCCGTATAAGCCATCCCTCCTTCAAAGATGTGCAACCACCCACAAACAATGTACCAGATAACATCAAGTGGCATTTAGACAACGCTTTAATGTTTGCAAAGCACTCTGTACATGATTTCATTTGAACCTTGCTACAACCTTGTAGGGGAGGTACTACAAGTATTATTTCCATTTCATAGAACAGGAACCTGAGGCTTAATAAGGTTAAGTGACTTGCAATTGGTGAAAAGGTTAGTGTTGCAAGTGGGATGCAAACTTAGGCCTTCCTGACTCCAGTTATTGCAAATCAGTATTAATTACCTTTAATATTTGAAATCCAATGGACACCTTCAAGATGGAATAATAGTTTTGGTTTTGGTTTTTTTTTTTGGTGGGGGGACCAGTGGTTTGGTCACATGGAAGGGCTGCTAAGAGAATGGATTACTCAGAAGACCAAAAAAATTGCTGTCAGCGTTGCTTAACTGATATCCTTTATTTTCTCCAGTTAGAAATCTAAAAATTCTCTCCATCTAAGAGATGATGCAGATCTCCTTGGGATAATTATATCTTAGAGTGTAAGAGTAAATTCTCTGGGGTAGAGTTGGGGGGGGGGATAACTCTAGGAAAAGCTTTATCACTAGGCTTTCAGGAAACAGGAAGAGTTTGCACCAATCATGCTGAAATAAAAAGAGCTACTGCCTAAGAATCAGGAGAACTGGGATCTAGGCCTGACAGTAATCAGCCAACCTGAGTATCAATCTCCTTACCTGTAAAATGGGGCCAATACCTATACTACATATTGCAAAAGGTTTTTGAAAAGCTCAAATGAAACAGCCCGTGCAATTTGGGACCCATCTGCTTTGTTATTTTTGTGGCAGAAATTGTTATGTCCACCTACAAAAGTTATAAAGGATCTATATCAGGTAATCTTTTATTATATGTAAACTCACAAAATAAATTTTTCTTGAATAATAATAATAATACCTTACCCTTATATTCACATTCTATACAGAGCACTTTTTTTTTACTATACACACTCCCCCACGTAAGCCTCAACAGCCCTGTGAGATAAGTAGGGCAGATATCACTTTTTTGCAGACGAGGATACTGAAGTTCAGAGAGGCTGCCTTGTCCAACCAAGGTCACACAACTAAGTAAGAGATGGAGCTAGAATTTGACCTCAGATCTTCAGATTCTATATCTATAGTAAGAGATAAAAGAACCTAAAAGAAAGACAAAAAACTCTTCTATGAGCACACCATGGAGACCTTAAGACCTCAAAGAGTTCACAAAATGGCAAATGCAAGAACTTTACCAGAAAATACAACTGAACTGAAGCATAGGAACTTGAGGCAGGGAAGAATCTTATAACATTGACTAATACAGGCGGGAAACTATGAAGCAAAAAGATCCAAACACCTGGTATTGGTTGTGAGCGTTTAAAAGCAATATATGTTGAATGCAAGCCTCATTAGTAGTTGTTTCTTTTTTAAACAATTATTTTTTTATTTTTAATTTACGGAATAAAACAAGCATTTCCATTACACAGCATAATTAAAAAAAAATGATTGCACACAAAGCTGCAAATCTAATACATACAACTTGCTATTCCCTCTAAATACATAATAAAGTTATCATGTAAATCTTTTTTTCCCTTTTTTTTCTTCCTATCCTAGAGATGGCTGTCATTAGACACAAATATATGCATGTGTGTGTGTATGTGTGTGTGTGTACACATGTAAAATCATTCTATACCTATTTCTATTTTTCAGTTCTTTCTCCGGATGCAGAGAAATTACAAACTGCAAAGTGACTATTTGTACCCATAAATGTTTGGTGATGTTTCCTTCCTTGTGTTTCCTTTTTCTGATTCCCATAAGAATGGTGGAAGAATGTGTCAATAAACACAACAGTGTAAATGGAATAAACAAAAAAAACTGAATGCTATGTAATTATGATTACCAAGCTTGGACCTAAAGAAAAGATATGACAATGCACCTCCTTTCCTTCTTTTCTGAGGTGGGGTATTACAGATATGGAATACTGCATATACTGTGGAACTTGATGGATGTCTTGGTTAATTTTGTTGAATTCTTCTCTCTCTCTCTCTCTCTAACAGTCATCGACATTATTCCAGGGGGAGGAGAAAGGAAGGATATACTGGGAAGTGCAGTGATGTAAAAACAAAGGATATTTTAAAAACTTGAAAAAAAAGGAAAGAGAAAGAAGTCTGTATCTTCCTGGAACAAATACAGAACTTCCCACAGCTGCAGATTTTGATAAAACAATAAAATGGAGAGAAGTATGTATAGTAGGTTAGCCTCATAGCACGCACCAATCAATCAGTATCACTCTTTTAGGCAATTTTGCTTAACTTTTCAGGAAACAGACAGGATAGGGGTATGTGCTTATTGGAATATGTCTGCTGGTCTAAACAAAACATAAAAGTATAAGTCAATTAGTCTCAATACTTGCTCATTACACCTCTAATTATTTTCTTAATCTAGGTATGCAGGACTGAACTTATTTCCTTGGTGCAAAGGAACCTGAGAGATGGGTCTACCCTTAATTCTTATTCAGCAGTCAGTTTAATAGGGGCACTATTCCAAGTGCTGAGAAAGTATTATTATATAGGATGTCCTCTTTCTGTCTATACTAGGGATCTAGAGAAAGCTGCCAACATAGTTAAGATGCTGGAAGACTCAAAGACTTCTGATCCATGCAATGACCAACCATGTTTGCAAAGGACTGGTGACAAAAAATCATTCTTCTGACAAAAAAGTGATCAACTCAAGGTGGAGAATGAGATATGGTTTTGGAAATGGCCAATGCTGGGGTTAGTTTTACTTAATCTTGTACATCTGATAAAATGGGAAAGGACTGTTGAACTTTGATCAATACAATAAACAACTGTGACTTCAAAAACGCTTCCCATCTCTTGGCAGAGGGGAGAATGGACAAAGGATGCAGAATGAGACATAAACATTTTCGGCCATAACCAATGTCAGATACATGGCCAATGTATCACTGTGTGTGTTTTGTTTGACCACACTATTTGTTAAGGCTAGGAGAATAATTTAGTCATGATATGTTGGTGTTCCGTTGTTTTAGTTTCATCTGACTTTTTGTGACCCCATTTGGAATTTTCTTGGCAAAGATACTGGAGTGGTTTGTCATTTCCTTTTCTAGCTCATTTTACAGATGAAGAACTGAGGCAAACAGGGTTAAGTGACTTGCCCAGGGTAACCCGGGCAATAAGTGTTGGAGGCCAGATTTGAACTCATGAAGATGAGTCTTCTTGACTCCAGGCATGGCACTCTATCTACTATGTCACCTGATAGAGATGTTAAAAAAGTTTTAAAAAGTGAAGAGTATCAATAAGACATTAAAATGTACACAGAGGGAGGAAAGGAAGTTCAAAAGAGGAAACAAATAGAACAGTTTTATCACTACATTTGTAGTTAAATTCTTCATAGTCTCTAAAAAAAACTGTATATAGCAGAAGTTCAGAGTTTCATATACAATCCTCTTTTCCCTACTCCTCCCTTTTTTTCTCCCTCCTATGATTTCTTTTTGTCATGCCTTTAACAATCACCAACACATAAACATTTTAGCATATGAAGAACAGAAAAGAGGATGGAGGGAAAGGAGGAGAAAAAGGGGGAGAGGAAGGAGAGAGTAGAAATGGGGTAGAGAGAAGAGTGGGGGAGGAGGGAGATTTCAAGCCTGTTTGTCAATAAGCTGCTCTTTCCTTGTAAAGAGGAAATGGCCAGAGAGTCTGGAACAATCATTTGTCAGGATGGATAGTGTCAAGGTTATTCCTGTTCAAGGCATCGACTGCACTAGACCTCTGAGAGTCCCTCTCAGCTGTGGATTCCATGATCTCATACAGAATAGCAGTCAAGCTGGGGAGAGAGCAGAGCTTCCCTCAGTCTCTGGGATCTGAGAAGAATTCACCAGGTTGTCACATGCCCTTTACCCAGGGTAGCCAAGGCTGTGAAGTGGAAGGATGCCTGTTTTACTTGGTGGCTAGTGCTGTGGTTGTGGCAAAGGGGCGGGAGCTGAGGACACAAGTTGTCAAAGTTGAAATTTGGTCACGCTGGCTCATGAAAAAGCCCATTTGTCTCGAGAAAGCTAGTGTACTTTCATTTTTTCCCTTTTATTTGTATATATTTTATATATTAAAAAGGAATAGCAAGTTGTACATAATTGATTAGCAGCTTCATGTGCAAGTATCTTTTTTATTATACTACATTTGTTTTATTCCATTAATTAAAAATAAAATAAATAAAAATTTTTAAAAAATAAAAGAGTACTTTTTATAGAACCATTCACCCTAAATTCCAAACGGCCACCTTATAAACATACCTCCCCCCAACTCCCACCCATTTGTAAGTTGGTAACTTTGCTGTCTACTGATATCTATATCCATATCTCCTCAGAGACATGGGATTAAATTTTGAGCAACTGCTGCTTCAGTAGTCTAGAAGATGAATAATACTGATATGGAGCTGGGAATCACATGGTGACCCTGGTGATCACAAGCACCTGCAGATGGGCGACCACAAGTGTGCTCCCTTGACAGTCACTCAAAGATCAGACTGGCGAGTGACCATAGCTGCCTCTAACTGCTACACACCCATCCAGGGAGAGAGTCCTTACAACAGCACTCATTCAGGCTAGCCTTCCCGAGTAGAATAGTTCTAAGTTCACTAAAGAATGTGAAGGTTATAGATGTTCAAACTATTTACAAATTAAGTAAATTTACATTCTTTGCTGGTTTCTTTATTTAGTGAAGATGTTCCTCCATATACAACACTTTCAGTCAAGCTTTTCTTGGACCACCTGTTTGTCCTATACATATTCCATTCCTTTTCATCTTCTCCTTGGATTCCTCCAGCCTTTTAGACCCAGATCCCTATATCTGTCCTGCCTATGCTCTTTTAGACCACGGTAACACTAAATAATAGCAGATGTGCTAGGTGGTACCGTGGATAGAATGCCAGGCCAGGAATGAGGAAGACTCATCTTTCTGAGTTCAAATCTGGCCTCAGACTAACTGGGTGACCCTGGGCAAGTCACCTAACCCTATTTGCCTCAGTTCCTCATCTGTAAAATGAGCGGGAGATGGAAACAGCAAACCACTCCACTCTTTGCCAAGAAAACCTCAAAAAGGGGTCACAAAGAATCAGACAAGACTGAAAGAACTAATCAATAACAACATGTTCTGGACTTCCTCAGCAGTCTGGCGAAAGCTATGGATTCTCCTTAGAATAATGTTTTTAAATTCATAAAACAAAGCACATTGGTTTCCAAAGAAAACCAGTTTTATTGAAATACTCTTAGAACCCAGGATGAGAAGCCCAATTTTTAACGAAGGAAGCCCTCAGTCATCGATTTCCTTTTCTTCCCTTTCAAATATGACAAATTCAAATCTAACAAATATTCAGTAAGCACCTACTTTGTATAAGATAATCTCTTAGATGGCAGTACCAAAAGACAAAAATCAAACAGTCCCTGCTACCTATAAGGTGCTTACATCCTACTGGGAGGACATTCATGGTCACAGAAAAGTAACAAATTTCCTTTCAGACTTCACATATACTTATTCATTCAAACAACATGCACATAGCTTACACAATACCATAGAACTTAGCACATCCAAGTACATATGATAATTTCCCAGCACAGTGTCCTGCATATCAATCCACCAGTGATGACTTATTCTTTGGAACACGGGGCTTGTATTGGCTGGTTCAAGGAGGAAATATGATCTCAGTGTGTCTTCTTTCTGCATGTTTTTGTGTGCTTCCTTATGTGTACTCAGAGACCATGCTGCCTAGAATTTCTGTAGTTACCTAGGCCCCTATTCCATACCTTTGGCATCTTTTTTTTTTTCCTTTCTGGTCTTTCCTTCTCAAGGTCTTATCTAGAGAGAGGGGGGCAGCTGTTAAGGGGCTGGGATTAAACTGTTTTTTGCTCCCATCTCTTTTGGCACATTTCTTTGTGCAACAAGTAGCTAGCCACAGAGGCCCAGACTAAAGTAGGAATGATGATGCTCTTCTGGTTGTTTGATCCTAAACAGTTATTCATGTCATTATCAAAAGATCCAGCTTTGAATTTCTGCAGGTGGCTGCTACCAGGGAGGAAAGGGGGATCAGGAAAGAGGCATATTCTTTCGGTTCTTGGTTCCTCTTTGGGGAGGCAAATGAAGCTGTTTCACATTGAAAAGAAGATGAATACTTCTGGCAAATATTCAAAACCAGATGCTAACCAAAGTATGAACCTGTATCCACAGCACCAGTCAAAACACAGAGACAACAGGTGAGGCAGAAAAGTTGGCAAGAAAACTTTAGGCAACTAGTTTTGTAACTTAGACCTTAAGGGTCCTTTGGAAGTAAAATATCCTTGGAGAAGACAGCCAGAGAAAACCTTTCAAATGAGAGATCTTTGGTGAATGGAAAAAAAATTAATTTTTATGTCAGCTCTGAGAAATTTATCTGGATCACCAAAGAATGGATATATAAGGAAACCCTAAACAGAATCCACATTGGATATTACAGTCCTGAAAGATCATTCCAACTGAATAATAAGACCTCACCATCACCTTATTTACCCTCGACTCCCCAGAAAATGCACCTGGATGGGGCCACGAAGGGGAATTTATCGACACCTTTCAACATCTGTATTTGCTCTTCTAGCCTGAACCCACGTGCTTATCCCAAACTTGCCACGTGCAGTTCAATGTCAGAAGCAACTTGTATGTGTTTATAATACTTACGTGTCTCTGACAGTATGTTGCCAAGAGAAATCCATTGCTCAGGAAGATGATTTTGCCTGGCTGTAAAGATAGAGTTCCTAGTTTTAATGGTGTCTGGCTATTAGTTATTAATCTGCTTGTCTGCAGAAACAGGTAAGGGGAAATGATAAATTAATACCGATTTGACAGGGTGGTTTTGGAAGTCACGGCACTAGATACGGTATTAATAAAAAGGTCATGTTTGGTAACAAAACCTAACTGAACCGACCAAAATAGATTCAGGGAAGCTGCCTTAAGCTCTCCTGGCGACACGATGACAAGACAATATGCAAATAAAAACATTCTAGCTGTTCTAAAACAGGAAATGAAAAATTGTAACATAACAAAAACATTTCCCAGAGCAGACATTCCGGCTCTGAGCCAGCTCTCTCAACCCACTGTTAACAACAGCACGGTAGCTATTCAATATGGGAGCAGCTGTACAGAAACTGGCCTGTACCAGAGGAAAAAAAAAAAAACACGCCACAAAGGTCAGGAAAAAAATTAAATGGGTGGAAAGAGTGTATTAGGAGGTAAAATCTATACTGAGCCTAGTGATTGGGCATAGTAACAATGGTGTTTGATACCTGGATCACCTTTCATCCTGAAGCTGATTAAACTTAAACACCCATCATAGTGATGCTCACTCAAGAAGTGTTGGTACTAGGATGCTGCAAATGCCCAAAGGCCAACATTTGAATGGCAGCTTTTAGGCAAAGACATAAGGGATGTGAGACTCTTAACACAAAATGCAAGTGAATTTCTTAATACTCTGATGTGGGCTTCCCCTATGTTCCGGACACTTTCATTCATTTTTTACAGAGGTCTCTCTTCCGTCTGGAAGCCAGTATTAAGCCAAACAGAAACAGACGGAAAGGAATGTGAGGTGGGGAGTGAGGAGACGGAGCAGAGCAACCCACTGGTGTCATTAAAAATAAACAAACAAATAAATAAAATAAGAGGTCTTAAGCGGAGGTGTTTTCCACATTCCCCTTTTCTCCCACCCTCCAACCTCCCCCCACCCCCAACTGGTGTTCTTCGCCATGTTTTCCATTTCAAAAGCTGTTCCCCTGATCAGCCAGATGTTGTACTGGGAAGTGAAAGGTGCCTTGTTAAATGAGTCAATATTCACCATGACACAGACGATTTTCTCATGATAAAATTTCTTTTATAGTGCTGACCTTTTGGATTCATCTTCCTGGTAACTTTGGATGGTGGCAGCAATAATCAACTGATCTGTTGAAGGCCACAGCCCTTTTCTTACCTGTAATAACAATCTCTCATCCCCAATGATGGCAGCTTGGTTCCAATCAATCACTTCAGAGAATGGTAACTCCCATCCATTGCTCAGCATCACCGGGACGCAGGCAGCCTGCACAAAAAAAGGAACCATCACCAGGCTGAGAAGAGGTACCATAGGCTCCATACTTAATTAAGGCAAAAATCAAACCAATCAAATTACTATCATTCCCTATGTCCTTTGGACCCCAGACTCTCAGGACCATGAAGAAAGATCAAAAGAATTGAAAAACTAATACTCTAAGGAGTTCTATGTCTGAGAGGCAACCTTTAAGCATTATCAAATGATATCAGAGTTGTGCCTGTATTAGCCCATTAATAATTTGGAAGTTTTGCACAGGGCTTTTAAAATCCTATTTCTATCCCTTCCCCAAACCTGATCATTTCTGCTGCCATTGAAACAGCTGGTCAGGATGGAACAGTTTCATTAAAAGCAATGAAAATGTGGCCCCACTGAGTCTTAGTATAAAACTAGCCTTGAGTATAAAACACTTTGGCCCATTTCTACAGATTCCAGTTAAAGTGACCCACTCCCAAGTGTCACTACACAGAATAGCTCACTCTTTGTCTAACAAAAACTTGATTATAAATTTGACTTGATTACAAACTTAACAACTGTAAGAACTACCAACAATCAAATAAACACAATGGAAAATAAAACCCCAACTACAACATTACACTGAAAATTACTTAAAGTTTCATTAAAAATATAAATTTTAACAAAATAATTGCAATAATCCTTTCACTTTTTCTTCTTCAAAAAATGTCTTATTCTAATTTTTTTTTGCTCTGTACCATATTATAGTCTTCTTTCCAATTTCTTCACATTTGTGAGTGTGTATATGTGTGTTTCTTGTTTTTCATGGTGTACTAGCATTCTATTCTACTCACATACATTCCTGTCTTTCCTTTCTCTGTACTTATTTAGTAGAAGGTGTGTACTTTTCCTTCTAAGTCAACTGAATCTTTTTAGTGCTAAGTGATCCAAATCATTCTCACCTGCATAATGATAACTCACGTTTATATGGCATTGTAAGCTTTCTTCACGGGGCTGCTGGTTAACCTAATGGATTGTGCGCCAGGCCTGGAATCAGGAAGACTCATCTTCCTGAGTTCAAATCTGGCCTCAGACACATACTAGCTGTGAGACCCTGGGCAAGTCTCTTAACCTTGTTTGCCTCAGTTTCCTCATCTGTAAAATAAGCTGGAGAAGCAAATAAAAACCACTCCAGCATCTTTGCCAAGAAAACTCCAAATGGGTTCATGAAGAGTCAGACGTGACTAAAACGACTGAACAACAACAAACTTTCTTCACCTGGAGAGGTGGCTAGAAGTATTATTTCCACTATGCAGATGAGGAAACTGAGATTCAAACACTTGCCCATGGCTAACTGCAAGGTATTTGATGGACTTGCCTGAAGCCACATAACTAGCTCAAGGTAGTGCTAGGGTAGGTCACAGGTCTCCTGACTATACATCCAAGGGCTTCTTCCAGAAAAGATTTTAACCTCATTAACAAAAGCCCAGCTCTAAGGAATTTAAGACAGAAAGGCCCACATTGGTGAGGCACAGGATGCATCAAGGAGCTACAGGAATGTCTATGTTTGGTATGCTTTGAAGAACAGTGAGGAGAATCTTAAAGATTTTAAAGGAAAGGAGGCTCTTCTGCTTTTAGAAACGGCTACAACAGTTTTCAGCTGGATGGAGTAGGAAGAGGTAATTATGAAGGTACAAGAGGGGAAGAAGAGGGTATGTATAGATTTATAGGAAACATAGAATACAGGGATGTAACAACCTAGAGGTGTGGGCGTTGGGGAATAGTAGGATGGCCCTTAGGATCAACAAAGCCTGGTGGCAACTTTCTAATGGAGCCCACTGGCAACTGTCTCTATGCATTCAGGATTATTTAGCTCTTCAGGAAATGAGGGAGCAGGAAAGAAGAGTCTTCCCCTGTAAAAGTTTCACCCCATGAAGGCACTGGAATTGGAGATTCACCAAACCTGGGGCCCACTCACTGCTAAGTCAGTAAAGCATTAGACCAAGCAACTGGAACCAATCCACCCTGCTGAGTATCACTTTCACTTAGGATTCAGAGATATTGAGTGGGGAATATAACAGACAATTTTGCTTTTATGGAGTGAAAACAATAAACTATTTTCCCACTTGTGGGGTTTAGATATTGGCAGAGGTCAGAGTTCCACCACCAAGGAATCCAGCTCTAATGCTTGACAGGCAAGTGCGACAAACTGGTCTGGCCCTGGCTGTCAACCAAGACTGGGACAATCCCTTTCAAGGAAAAATAAAGCAACACAGTGAGTTCTAGAACTTAGTCTAGGGTCCTCTCCCAAAGGCAGTGGGCTCTCACTGCAAAGGTATGTACAAGCACACAGAAACAAGCTGAAAGCCTCCAGGGAAAATCACACTTCCCCACCCCATCCCCCATGCCCTCTTTAGGCATAATATTAAACACACCAGATCCAGTCTTAATTCCCAAGTCTATCTTAACTCCAGAGGCACTGTAGCATGATGAATAGAGTGCTGACTTTATAGGCAGTCAGGCCAATAAACATTTACTAAGTGCCTACTGTGCACCAGGCACTGAGCACTGTGGCTACAAACACAATCTCTGCCCTTAATGAGCTTAGTCTAATTTGTATCGCTGTTCCCTCCAGTCTGACTCTTCATGATGCCTATAAAGGTTTCTTTGACAAAGATACCGGAATGGCTATTTTCTTCTCCACCTCATTTTACATATGAGGAAACTGAGGCAAACAGAGTTAAGTGACTTGTCCAGGGACACAGAGCTAGTAAGTGTCTGGTCACATTTGAACTCAGGAAGATGAGTCTTTCTGACTTCAGGCTTGGTACTCTATCCATGTACCAGTCTATCCATACCTAACTGGGGTATTTCTAATTCTAATGGGGAAGTCAAAACACAAGAGGAAGCTATAAAGTAGTGGGGGTGGGGTGGGGAGGAGACTAGGTACTCCTTTGTAGTAAGGAAAGGTAAGATTCAAATCCTATCACAGTCACTTACTACTTGGGAGATCCCAGACAAATCACCTTACCCCTCAGATTCTCAGTAAGACTGGAATAATAATGTCACCAACCTCATAAGAATGTCAAGAAAATCAAATGATTTAATTTATGTAAAGCCCAGGGTAGAGTCCTAGACTTGGGAGCAGAGAAGACCTGAATTTGAATCCTGCCTCAGACATTTACGAGCTGTGTGAGCCTGGGCAAGTCACTTAAGACTCAGTTTCCTTAACAATAAAATAGGTGATAACAATAAATAGCATCTACCTCATAGGGTTGTTGTGAGGATCAAATGTGATGCTTTATAAAGCATCTTGCAAACCCTTGTAAGCCGTCTGTGAACCTGTGCATGTACCGTATGAATCCTAGCCATTGTTATTAGTGATTATTAAAGTGCTTTGCAAGCCTTAATGGGTGAGATAAATGTGAGCTCTTGGTAGTGGTGGTGATATGAGTATTATTAGCATTAATAATAATCTGTACAGTGCCTCTTACCTGCAGTGCCTCCAGAAATCTAAAGGAGCCAAGCCTGCGGCCACGGGGAACCAGACAGAAAGTGGCATTGTGCAGCATTTCTCGATAATCATACCTAGAGGGAGAAAAATATGTAATTAGATAATGAACCTAAGGGAAGAGAGGATGATGGCCATAAGATGGAATACATGTACCTGTAATAGGTTACACAACCCAGTGGATAGAGCTCTGGGCCTGGACTCAGGAAGACCTGAGTTCAAATTTGACTTCAGACACTGTGTGACCTTAGGCAAATCACTTAACATCTGTTTGCCTCAGTTTCCTATCTACAGAATGGGGATAATAATATTACCTACTTTCCAGGTTGTTGTGAGGAAGAAATGAGATAATAATTGTAAAGCACTTAGCACAGTGCCTGGCACATAGTAAGCACTAAATAAATGCTAGCTATTCGCTATTATTATGATGTGCTTGTTGTCTCTACCCATCGGGATGTAAGCTACTCCTCAGGAATACAGGATTATTTCATTCTTTATATTTGTAGCCCCAGAGCCTGCCACATAATAAGTGCTTAATAAACGCTTTTTGATTGACTGACATACACACTCAAATCAAGTCGATTGAGACCAAATGAGTAGAGTCGTGAGCTCTGATCTCACGGTTCTCTTTCTTGGGAGGGGAGTTGGTTGTGACAGGCCCAGAAAACATTAAGGATCGTGTTGGATGAAACAGTTGTAATATGCTTTGCAAACAATATCATCTGACACAAGTCCAGTGGCCGCCACTTCAACAGATTGGGCACCAGAGTCTCGGTCTTAGAAGTTGAGTTTTGTTGTGACAGCAAATGAAACACTCTTCCCTTTCTTTCCATATAAAATAAAATTTTAAAAAAAACTACCTTTTTTTTTCTGTTGGTTTTTAAAATGCCATTTCAGTCATCCACAAAAGCCTGTGAAAGCTAAGACAGGCCTTCTTCTCCCTCACAACACCCTTTATATCCCCCTTCTCCAAAAAGAAAAAAAAAACCAGTTACAGCTAACTCAAGAAACCTTCACAGTGATCACAAACAACATTTGCTCCTTCCTCTGAGCCAAAGTCTCTACATTTAGCTAAGAACATTCAGCAACACAAGACAAAACTTCCTGTAGCAGAACAGCTCAGATTTAGAGAGAGAGGAGGATGGAGAAGGAAGGGAAAGAGATGAGCCTAAAAAGGGGGGTAAAAAAGAGTCAGGGCAAGAAATCTTTTGAGGCTATAAAAAAGCAAATGATCGGGACCAGCTAGGTGGCATAGCGGATAAAGCACTGGCCCGGGAATCAGGAGGACCTGAGTTCAAATCTGACCTCAGACCAAACACTTGACACTTACTAGCTGTGTGACCCTAGGCAAGTCACTTAACCCCAATTGCCTAAAAAACAAAGCAAATGATCTGCTTTGAAAAGCACATCCTGAGTGACACCTTCTCCAAGACACTGTTAGTCAAGATTAAATATCTCCTTTTCATTTATGCCCATCCCTTCTAACAATTCAGAGTAAACATCTCAACTGTTTCCAATTCATTATGAGGTAATCTGAGTTTCAATCAAGCCTGTACAGGGTAGAAGGCCTGGGTCCTGCAAAGGGACCATCTACCCAGCAACAAGATTAGCCCCCACCCTCTTAAGAGCCTCCACAGTTGTACAGACAGGTGCTACTTTGATGGTAACTTATGTCACCCACACTTTCTGACTCTTAATAGTCTAATTTAATCATAGCCCAAAGGCATTGGATATTTTTTCCTCCTGTCTTTTTTTTTGGGGGGGGGGAGTATTGATGTATACATTTATATTTTTAAAGTCCACATCTATTTTTATATTCTCACACAAACTAGGCATATGGGAGTAAGCCAATTTTCAATTATAAACCCGTCATTAGGAAGAGACATCTTGCAAAGGCCCATTTGCTTAAACAGGCGTGTACAACTAATTTGCACAAGAAAAGGTCACTGGGAATGGATTAAGATTATCTCCACTGAGAGTAAAATAAAAACCCTTGCTGCATTAATTAAACTACAAAATAGACTTCAAAGTGGATGAGATTTTTAAGAGGGATCAAATTTAGCTAAATAAAAAATATTAAATTAAAGAGGTAATGGTTTCTTTTCCCATCCTTAAACATTGGTATAGTAATTGACAACGAGTTTCAAGTTCAACTCCTGATCTTTCTGGGATACCTTTACGAACTGTGGAGAAGGGGGGAAAAAGTTTTAAACTGAGTGTGTGGTATTTTTTTTAATATAAAGAAAGGTCGAAGACTCTTCAGAGTACATTGCATGACAGCATGGTTTAATAAATGCTTAAAATAGAAACCCCTGAGGGACCAGCATAGAAGGTCCTATATCCTCATCATTAGCCAACTCAAAATGTAAAACTCCATTAATGTTCTCAACTGCGACAAGTCCCAAAATTGCCAGTTTCAGAATTTAGGAAATATGGAGGGAAGGGGGGAAGAGGAAGGAGAAAATGACTTACAGAGAATTCAAAAAGGGATCATTATTTAATGGTTACACTAGGAACACTGCAACATAGATCTGGAAACAAAAGGGAACTCAGAGACCATCCCATCCTACCCCCTCACTTGAGGGAGAAACTGAGGCCCAGGGAAGTAAAGTGACTTGCCCATGGTCACACAAGTACTAAGTGTTCACGGTGGGATTTGAACTCAACCATTGTGAATTCCTCTCCAAATGTGGCAGTCATCCCACTCAATCAGGGTGTTATTTTGACTTTTTACTGGTGATCTGGAGTGGATGAAAATTTACACCAGCAATTTTTGCTTCCATTGCTGTCTCAGCAAACAAGTAATGTCTCTTCATTTTTTTCTCATCAGCTACCCATTTCTGTTGCTTCTGTATATCCAAGGATCTTTTGGAAGGGTTGCCAATCAAAATGTTCAATAATTCAAAGATCTAAGATTTTGTCAGGACTATAATGTATAGAAGAGAGCTACCTGAGATTCAGAGAATTTAAGTGACTTGCCTAGGGTCATAGGGCCAATAATTGCCCAGATTTGAACCTGGGTCTTCCTGAATCCAAATCCAGCACCCTTTTCCTACTGGATACCTCCAGTGTGATTTTTAAGGGAACATATATGGTTTGTGGAGACAAGCCCTTGCTCAAATCATAAAGTCAAGTAAACCATTTTCCTTCCTCCTCTTTACTTCCTTCAGTATGTTGTTGTTCAGTCACGTTCAACTCTTCATGATCCCATTTGGGGTTTCCTTGGCAAAGATACTGGAGTGGTTTGCCATTTCCTTCTCCAGCTCATTTTACAGATGAGGAAACTGAGCCAAACAGGGTTAAGTGACTTGCCCAGGGTCACACAGCTGGTAAGTACCTCTACCCCTACTGCTAATGCTTTCCTTCAGAGATTACACAGTATATATCTTATACCCTTTACACTGTATATATCTTATTCCCTTTATACTGTATATATCTTATACTTACATAATAATAGCTAACATTTATAGAAATTTGCAAAACCCTTTATTTGTTACCTCATCTGATCTTCACTACAACTCTAGGCACTATTATCAGAGTTCCTTGCATGTTGTCTCTCCCATTAGAAAGGGTACTACTTTAGGACTAGGGACCACACTTTTATTTTATTTTATATTTTAATTTTGGATGTCTAAGGTTTAGCAGAGTGGGATATATATAGTAAGTACCTAATAAAAGGTACTGAGTGACTGACCGACCGACCTAGTAGGAAAGTTAGGGCTCAGAGACTCCCCCCCCCCACCTCCCTATGGCCCTTGTGAGTTGGGCAGACTTTCAGCAAGTCCCAGATCCCCACCCTACCCTCATGAACAAAGGAAATTTGGCAAGCTACTTCAAAAAAGGTGGCTGACCCCTGATCTGACACCATCACTTTAGAAATCACAAGCCACTTAAAAGTATATATAATTAACTAATGAACATGATAGTCTTAGCAGGGAGGTAAGTAGATGAGGGAGGTAGGTAATCTCCAAGAACTTGCAGCTTTAATTAATGAAGGATTTTTATTACCCATTTCAGGTGGGTATTAAGATCTCCACTATACAGATGGTGACACAGAGGACAGAAGAGTTTTAATAAATGACTGCAAAGGCTAATGTAATTAAGCTGTACGGCCATGAACATAACCCAGAAATAGGTCCCACTTCATACACAATTCTCTCCTGAAAAGTTGTATGCATATGATATACTAGTGAGTCCCCACTTAAAATGAGTCTCTATAATAATACATAATTAATCCTCCCTAGAAATGTAAGTGCTATGATGCCTGCAGCAACTTCAATATTGTTCTGGCTGAAGGGAAAAATCCCAACAGAATGAGGTGGAAAAATAAATATTCATAAGGGCAGACCCAAGGGGGGAAAGCAGAGTCAGCCCTCAAAAGAAAAATGATAGCAGACACTGAGATTCCTGACAGTGAAGGAATTTCTTATTGGAAGCAGGTTTGCTTTCTTATTAGGAAAGAGTAAATGCCTGGTGGTGTTACCACAGATTAGAAAACAGATGCAGCATGGTATGAAGGGGAAGACCTGGGTCTGAGTCCCCACCATCTCAGCTCCATGTGGTGTCCATGCCTCAGGAGTGGCGTCTTTTGCCCCCAGCAGATCTATAAACTTGTTTCCCGAGTTTGACATGTCCTTGTGCCCAAGTGGCTCTAACAGCTGTTCGTTTTCTATAGCACTGACCCCAAGTCATTTATCTAGAGCAGAGGCTTTTTAACTTAGGGTCTGTGAATTTCTGTTTTAATAAAAATTTTGATAACCATATCTCAACAATTCCTTAGCAATCCAATGTATTTTATTTTATGCATTCAAAAACCATTTTCAAGAAAGGGTCCATAGGCTTTACCAGGCTGCCAAAGGGGTCAAGGCCACATACAAAAAGGTTAAGAACAAGCCCTGATCTACAGGGACTCCTTCCCTTTAGCTTTCACATTAAAATATAAAATAAGTTGCTGACAACAAGTATCATCCCATAATCCACACACTGAGCTGCAGGTGGTGCCTGGATAGAAAATTTCCTTGGAAGCTGCCCAGTCCTAGGCAGGTCCTCTGGGCCTATAAGTGAGCTTGATCTCTCT